CAGTGCCTCTGTATAACATATGGTCACACATACAAGAACATTGCCAATAAATCCAAGAGACCCAACCACAGAGAACAGAGCCTGAAATACAGGGAATATGTCATTAAAGTCCAGGCCACCCATCATTTCCATCTTGATTGACTTTTTATTGCATACCTTGCTAAACTGAAAATTTAGAGCATGAGTTAGCCTCCGCAAAAATAGACATCAGGTTAAAATAAGCTCTAAAGTACAGTGCTCTGTAGAGATCTGGAGAATGACAACTGTGCGAACAGGCGAAAGTCAAAACTGAGTAATGGCTTTGTAAAGAGGCTGATGTTTGTAAAGAGGCCGATGTTTGCAACCACTGTTGACTACATGTGTGTTCTGTTGGCTACAAGGCTTGAACCCTCGCCAAAAAGAGATGCAAGCTGTAAACACTGAGAGGCTGAGAAGCTCTCGTGCAAAATTTGAACTCTAAACAGGATTTCCCGAAGTCTCTATCAAGATGAGGCTGAAGCATCCCAGACTTGCGAGTCACTGAGTTGCACACTCAACCAGAGCTCAAAGCGATCCTCCTGATACAAATGGCAAAGCTTTCCCAGCACATTTAGCATGCATGACAACACACTGGCACTCTGGATAGCTATAGATGACTTCGGTGTCTGGAGAATGACCCTGCTTGGTGTCTTTAAGGTATGGTTTAAGAGAGAGCCTTGCAATGAGTGCCAGTCGATCTGCAAACTAGCAGAAATGCTCTGACCACCATAAAAAAATTCCAGGGCTGCAATTGTGTCTGCCGCATAACAGTAAGATGGTATGTAAACGACACTCCTTATTTATGCACCAAGGGAAGTCTTCTTTCGACTGTAAATCACTCTTGGAATTGCTGTCAAATTTTTCGTGTTCAATTGGCAGTTTTCTTGCTGCAACTGAAGAGAGTCCAAAGCCAGCAGTGAAGGAGACCGCATCTGCCAGGTCACGCAAAAACTGCTCAGCACTCTAATTTTTGGTGCGGCCGAAGGTGTGCACAAGTAATAAAGTGTGAAGTGCGCACGTAACAAGAGATGTTTTATATGGAGCGAAGGGGGGGGGGGGGGGGGGGGGGGGGAGGGGTGCCTTTATCTAACAATCACTATGAAGGTTGAGCTCCTAATGATGAATGACCAACAATGACCAAGGCAGTTTGATAATAAAACAAACTGCAATATCACCTAATATCAGTTTCTCAAGCACAGTTGACAAGACAAACAAACCATAATGATGGCTGACAGATGCTGTTTTATCGTTAGACTTCCTGCAAAACTGCACACAAGAATCAGTGTTTCCCGATTTTGAAGCCCTAGTGAATGGTGTTTACATTGACAACAAGATGGTTCTTGAACCATGCGTCTCGCCTGCTTTCGGGATTTTCTGTAAAGAGTGATCCTTGACCTTGGTGTGTGACCTTTGACATCATTATTACTTGAAGGTTCCCATGTTGCATTGATGACTCAAGTTTGGTTCCAACTGGACTTAAACCTTTCAAATGAGATATATTGTACATGTTCAGCCTATTATACAACTTGACCTTATGACCTATGAGCTGGGTACGCGACCATTGATATTATCATATATGAAGGTTGCTATGGTGCATCTATGACCCAAGTTTGGTTCCAATTGGACTTCAACTTTTCAAATGAGACAAATTTACAAAACTTTAAGCAAAATACGACAAACAAGTATACTACATACGGACAGACACAGTGATTGCATAGTCTCTTTCTTGAACAAAGTTCAGGCGAGACAATAAGTCATCACACAATATAGCATTTCTTGTCTAAGATGTTTGGTAGTTATCTTCTTGTTAGAGAGAGGTAAAATAAGCTACCAGCTACTCACAACAAAATACTCCTTGTTTACTATATCATTAATTTTGTATTGTAAAGAATCATGGCAGTATGTTACATCATGACGTCACTTGACGTCACAGGGTCTATGTCTATATTAATTATCATTGGTAAATAAACCAGGTCATATCTGATGTATTATGTTGGAGACTTCCATGGCCTAATAGAGGACGAAGACCTTTCAACTACATTGATGTGATTGGCAGAGACACCCAATGTGAAATTGAAGACCTTCCGTACATAATGAGGGATAAAGACACCTGGCGTGGCGTTGTGAACGAGATCTCGGTTGCGACCGCTAGATGATGATGATGATGATATGACTAAGTTCAATGCCAAAAGAGGCGGGTATAAACAACGTCTACAAAGTCTAAGGCAATTGGGACTGAAAACCCAAGACAACTATGCAGAAACGCCAAGTCAGCTTGTGCATTTGGACAATCCAATGACCGACCTCTGGAAAGAGCTAGTGGACACAACACATATTAGGCCAGAGATTCGACCGTCTCTACACTTGATACATGTACTTGCCGGACCCGATTGTGACGTTTCAATTTCCTGCATCTGCACCTTACCATAGACACAAAGGACTGCCTCAGCTGTTTGTACTTGAACCCATACAAGACTGGATTGATGGCCGAATTCAGCACTGCCAGGAGAACTAACGTCTGCATCACAGCTGCAGATTGGCCATCGGAACTAAATCCAAACACAACGTTAATTATTTTAGCAGGCAGTACTAGAATAAAAAAAGCTGCTGTGACGAGAGCCATCGCTACGGTCACCTTCTTGTGAGCTTCAAGTAGCTCTTTGGCGGACTCTTTTACTCCTAAGTCCTGAATGCTCTTGGCCCCCTGTTTGAGGTTTATCAGAATCTGGACATACATCCAAACCATGGCTCCAGTCGGCCCAGCAAGCAGCAGCATTGACAAAAGGGAAAACGTGAGGTGAAACTCCATACCAGCCTCGACACTGCTACAATTTTGATGCCGGTAATTAATGATGGAATGTATGAAACGAGGCAATTCTACAACCAGTGGAGTCACCCACATTGCCAATAACATGACCACAATCTTTCTCCAACTGAAGTAACTTCTATAGTGCAATGGTCTTACAATCCCAATAAACCGCTCATACGTCACCAATGTGAGGCCAAGTACAGAGTAAGCCAGAAGAACATTACCTAAGTAATGAACAACCCATTTCACATCAAACAAGAAAAGTAACTTGGGAGTACATGTGACTGTCCCGTTGTAAAGAGACCTCTCGTCTTTAGAGTTGTGGGCTGTAAACGGAACCGCGATATTGGCTACTGAAGCCAATGCATCAGCCACGGCCAGATTCAGTATGAACAAGTTTGTGATACTGTGCAGTGCCTCTGTATAACATATGGTCACGCATACAAGAACATTGCCAATAAATCCAAGAGACCCAACCACAGAGAACAGTGCCTGAAATACAGGGAATATGTAATTAAAGTCCAGGCCACCCCTCATTTCCATCTTGATTGACTTTTTATTGCATACCTTGCTAAACTGAAAATTTAGAGCATGAGTTAGCCTCTGCAAAAAAAGACATCAGGTTAAAATAAGCTCTGCAAAAATAGACATCAGGTTATTCAAAAATAAGCTCTAAAGTATAGTGCTCTGTAGAGATCTGGAGAATGACAACTGTACGAACAGGCAAAAGTCAAAACTGAGTAATGGCTTTGTAAAGAGGCTGATGTTTGTGAAGAGGCCGATGTTTGCAACCACTGTTGAGTACATGTGTGTTCTGTTGGCTACAAGGCTTGAACCCTCGCCAAAAACAGATGCAAGCTGTAAACACTGAAAGGCTGAGAAGCTCTTGTGCAAAATTTGAACTCTAAACAGGATTTCCTGAAGTCTCTATCAAGATGAGGCTGAAGCATCCCAGACTTGCGAGTCACCGAGTTGCACACTCAACCAGAGCTCAAAGCGATCCTCCTGATACAAAGGGCTCAGCTTTCCCAGCACACTCAGCATGCATGACAACACGCTGGCACTCTGGATAGCTATAGATGACTTCGGTGTCTGGAGAATGATCCTGCTTGGTGTCTTTGAGTGCTAGTCGACCTGCACACTAGCAGAATGGCTCTGACCACCATAAAAAAAAATCAGGGCTGCAATTCCGCCAACCATCTACTCGATAAAAGTTAGGTGGCATGTAAATGACGCTCCCTGTTTATGCACTTTAAGAGAAGTCTTCTTTTGACTGTTAATCACTCTTGGGATTGTTGTAAAATGAGGCAGTTTTTTTTTTCTGCAACTGGAAAGTGTCCCGATCCAGCTGTAAAAGAGACCACATCTGCCAGGTCATGCAAAGACTGCCAAGCACTCTGAATTGTGGTACTGCCGAAGATGTGCACAAGTAATAAAGTGTGAAGTGCGCACGTAACCAGAGATGTTTTATATGGAACGAAGGGGGGAGGTGTGCCTATATCTAACAATCACTATGTGCGCTCCTAATGATAAATGATGAGCAATGACCAAGGCAGTTTTATAATAAAACCAACCGCAATATTACCCAATATCAGTTTCTCAAGCACAGTTGACAAGACAAACAAATCATAATGATAGCTGACAGATGCAGTTTTTTCATTAGACCTCCTGCAAAACTGCCCACAAGGATCAATATCTCCCGATTTTGAAGGCCTGGTGACTGGTGTTTACACTGACAACAAGTCATCACACAATATTGCATTTCTTGTCTTAGATGTCTGGTAGTTATCTTCTTTTTAGACCGAGGGCTAATTGGCTACCAGCTACTCACCATAAATGCTCCTCGTCTGCTTTACATCATTAATTTTGCTTTGTAAAGAATCATGGCAGTATGTTACAGTCCCGGTTATATCAAAATAAGACCAAACTTTAGTGTAGACTTTGATGAATTTCAAATGAGTCTTAACCCTTAAAAAGGAAGAACGATGTCTTTTTCTCTATGTTATGAAAATGTAACATACTTTCTGTGAAACAGAGATTATTACAACCACAAATGTTTTTTATTTTGATTTTCGTTTGTAGGAAATGTGTAAAAAAATAACATTTTTTTTTTTATAAAAGAAATCTGCACATTAACGGAGAAATCTTGAAATGCAACGAGATTGCCACTTACTCTCTGGTACTCAATACCCTCTTGTGTTTCCTCCATGATTCGCTCCACATCTTCGAATGACATCATCTGTCAAAAGAAAGGAAGAATTCATTGATGCATCTCACTTATTTATTCAGTGCTCTAAGCGAGGCTATGATCATCTTTGTAGGAATCTTTAGATGACACTGTGTGGACTACAGGTTAATTACAGCTTCTCACTTTCATTGAGAATCACAAATCTGGCATCAAAAAAAAAAATCTTTCCTTTTATACAAATATTTCAAAGAGAAAAGAAAAGTTCAAATATCTAACAATCAACAATCAACCTTTTAAAATTAAGCAGCAACAGTTACATGCAAAGGACTCTGCAGGATTAAGAAGGGTAGATTCTTATCGCTTCTCATGAGGCTGAAATACGGGTCCCTTAAAAGTTGCAGAAAGTTTAAGGTTTATTTTGGATGCTTTGTAGCAAAACTACCTTTGGGAGTTTAGGGTTAACTGTATCTAAAGCTAGGCTTCAGCTCCTATGCAAAGTAACAGTGGCTGGGCTCTACCTTCCTAAATCCTACAATATCCTTCAAAATCTACCTCGTGGATTTTAAAGGATATTGAAGGGCTTAGGGTTAGTCTAACTAGCAAAGCAATGGGCTAGGAATCTTCCCAGATCCTCCAAAATCATCCACTGTGCCACATTAGCACATTCTCTGTACATTTAAAGGAGCTTCCAGCTCCATGTAGAATAACAGTGGCTGGGGTCTACCATCCTCAATCCTACAAAATCCTTGAAAATCCTTCCAGAGGATTTTGTAGGATCTAAGATAGCTTGGGTTGATGGAAATATAAGGGATAGGGGTTATTACCTGGTGCATTTTCTTGAGGCATTCGTTGCCCGTCTTGAGTCCCTCTATGACCCTGGCCTCCACCTGCGCAAACTCAATCTCTTGCACCAGCTGCTCTAGGTTACTCAGCTGGTTGTCTGTCTTGCTCAGCACCTGCTCCTGGTACCGCTTCTTCTTCAGTAACACCTTGGCTTTCCTTCAGGAGAACATGAAAACCAAAATTGATAATGAATTTTGGTGGTTTGTCAATAATGGGCTTTCAAGTTTGCTGATGTACTTTTAAAGCAATGTACTGCCTATGAGCTTGCAAGAAAATAAACTAAGTTTGCTTGGGGGGGGGGGGGACTTGAACCCATACTAGTACAGACATCTTATTCTCAACTAGACAGCTCGTAGGGTCTGGCTGACAAGTTTGAATCTCATACTCAAAAATCAATGACAATACAGGACGGAAATTTTATAAAGTCGTACAACCAAATATTTACGACCCTTGATATGAATTTCCATTTTTTGGTATTGTGATGAAAATTTCAAATATTGGGTTGCATCCTTGTTCTACTTTAAGTTATACGTAATTTAGGTTTAATAAAGCTTTCCAAAATACAAGCTTATATAGGTGGGACTCAAACCCACCACCTCCATCTTTAAGACCTTTAATAGGCAGATCTATAAATGTTGTAACCTACTCCTTCTTTCCATCGCGTAGGAGCGTCTTGGCAACCTGTCGCTCCCTCATCAAATTGGCCTCAATCTTCCTCTGGTATTGCTTCAGTTTGTCTCTCTGTTCCTTCAGTTGCTGTAATGAAAGTTAATTGGTGATTTGTAAGTTAATTAGTGATTTGTAGGGCGTCCAATGGGTGAATGCAATCTGCTATAGAATACTCTTAACCCTTACTCCCTTGTCATTTTTGCTGGGATGTAACCTCACTCCTGCAAAATCCTCCAATTGCCTCCATGTAAAAATTGCATAAAGCCTCAATCCTGCAAAATCCTCTGCTATTTCTTGACTGTGGTCCTTAGAGGGCGACCACTGCCTCAATCCTGCAAAATCCTCCAGCAATCACTTTCAATATGTTGAGGCAGAGCCAGTGACATCCTGGAGCAGTGCGGAGGATTTTAAGTATAATACAGGCCTAAATGTATGCACGGCTGAGCATAAACAACACAAGGTCCGGCCTAAGACCTTGACACAGTGCATCCTCTGAAATCAGCCACACACTTTTGCCATATACATGTAACCTCAATCCTGCAAAATCTTCCATTTTGCAAAGAGGATTTGGGAGGATTTGGGAAGGTTAGTGTTCAGGCAGTGTTGTATTTGAGTCCCTCAAATCCTCACATATCCTCACAAGTCCATCACAAGTCATCCAGTCCCAAGTTGAGTCCCAAGCTATTCAAATGAACTGCATGTTGCAAAGGCACTCCTTTGTTGAGGTTCGTCCACTGTAATTTGTGGCTGAATTTGTAAAATGACTTGAGATTTACTTATGATTGGACTTGTGATGGACTGGATTACAATACTGTCTTAAGGTACATGTATACCGGTATATTCTGCATCTTCTTACCAGAACTGCCTTGTCTTGTTCCGTGACTCGGCTCTTCTTCTTCCCAAAGAGATTACCCATGATGCATTACAGAGCACCAATCTGCACTCTGTAAAGATGACGCAATGTATCAATAGTGACTGTTTGTATTGATATTAATACTTTTAATAGGTCAGGTGTCCATTAGGAAAGAATGCAGTATCCAGACGCCACTTCTTTGGTTATGTACAAAGTCTATGGAGAGTCCAGTGCATTTTTGAAGTATTATTTAACAAAATTGGGAATGTTTCTCAGTCCCAGATTTATGTCTTTTCTACATTTTTGCAACAATAACTGACCTTCATTAAGGCAATACATGATGAAAAAAAGTGGCAGGGATGCAACATTCTTTCCATCCATTACATTAGTAAGGTGTTCATATCTCTTCTTAAATTTTCATTCTTCTAATCTTAATAAAAGATAGCCCCACTAGTGTGGCCGTCGGTATGCTGCGCTGAACCTTTGGCCACACACCGTGGTACCGCGCGCTACTGAGGACGAAGTTTTTCATAAAATTCAGGGCAGTTTCTTACATTTTCAGTTTCTTACTTTCTTATGGTTGTATTCTATGATGTCTCCTATCACTTCTGGGATGCTTAGCATGTGCTTAGGTCTAATGATGTTCCATTTTCCGAGATATTCTTCAATCTTTCTGGAGTCCATATGCACTCGTGAAACGTCTGGTGATGGCAGCCATTTTGAATGGGACAAGAGATGACCTCAAGCTGTGACGTCGCGTGTATGCAAATTGCTTGTCGAGCGCGCGAGGGCGCGAGTTGCAAATGCGACGGCTGTTTCCTGTACCATGCATTTATCGTCAGGGGGCCACGTGCACCGATCTCTATTCAGGATCTACGGCACAGGAAACAGCCGTCGCATTTGCAACTCGCGCCCTCGCGCGCTCGACAAGCAATTTGCATAAACGCGACGTCACAGCTTGAGGTCATCTCTTGTCACATTCAAAATGGCTGCCACCACCAGACGTTTCACGAGTGCATTATGGGCTCCAGAAAGATTGAAGAATATCTCGGAAAATGGAACATCATTAGATCTAAGCACATGCTAAGCATCCCAGAAGTGATAGGAGACATCATAGAATACAACCATAAGAAAGTAAGAAACTGAAAATGTAAGAAACTGCCCTGAATTTTATGAAAAACTTCGTCCTCAGTAGCGCGCGGTACCACGGTGTGTGGCCAAAGGTTCAGCGCAGCATACCGACGGCCACACTAGTGGGGCTAAATAAAAGAGGGCACTGTTTCCATTTCGCACACAGCAAAAAAAGAGACAAGATTATTCCTCCACGATTAGGCTTACTTGTAAAAAGTTTGTTAATACTGAAGAGATTGTCGCACCAAAAGACTTGGGTTTTTTTTGGGGGGGGGGGGGTGGAGGAGAGGGGTGGGACCAAAGAACAAGGAAAGTAGTCAACAACTTCAACTGTCAACACGCGATCCTTAAATAATTACAAAATGGGGCACAAAGCACTAACTGAGTGTCATACCTAACGTGTTAAAAAAATCCCAAACGTTATTCCATACAGGCAGGAATTAAAAACTTACAGTGACTTACAGTAATAATGTTATTTCCGATCCGTGGCCGTGTTTTGTGTTGCAAAACACTGGGTCGGCAGTAAATTAGTCGGTGGCTATAACCACACATTAAAGTATATCGTGGAGTCAGGGGTGCGATCATTGAAATTAGCAAAATTTCAACCATAGAGGGCGCAGTTCAATATGGCAGCCTCCAGAGACGAAAATGTGCGTCATAAAACGTCGGGAAAAACAGCTTCTGGAAAACCATGCAGAGCATGTACAGACTTCAGATCATTTGCAAAAGGGCAAGGACTAGCCTTTCCACCTGGAATGCATACAGATGTAGGTATTTCTTTGTGTTTGTGTACGTAAAATGATGATTGAACCGACACGGGTGGGCTAGCCCCCCCGTTCAATGGTGAAGAGCTTACGCAATACCTTCACTGTATTACAAATGTGAACGTTTGTACAGGCACAGCTACGAGCGATTATGACCCTGCATCCGCTCCCACAAGAGTATGAAAAAGTATATCTTGCAACTACATTCTTTGCGTTCTTTATCACTATCAGCCAATCAGCATCCAACTTTCATGGCATCTACTGTCTAGCTGTCATGTTTGCCAGCCAGCTCCAGCTTGTTTTTTTATTTTTGTGGTTGTCGTCGTCTTTTACCCCTTAATTTCCCTCACAAATCTAAGCCCTGCCCTCTTTCCACAAAATTAAACCTGCTGATATTGAAGAAGGTGTCATTACCAAATGTTCAGATATGTTAATTGTTTTGGTGAGTCTTTTAACCATATATAGGAACGGGGTCCCCAAGATAAGGATTACCCATATTCCTCTGACTTATTCACAGAAATCCACGAGTGGTAATAAAGAGCCGCCCGGCGATCCTGAGTGCCCCCTGGATCGGGAAGAGCTTGGCCGGAACACCTGGTCATTTCTGCACACGACGGCCGCATACTACCCGGACCAACCAACAGAGACACAACAGAGCGAGATGGGACAGTTTATCAATCTCTTCTCCAAGTTCTTTCCCTGTGATGTGTGTGCTGAGGATCTCAGAGAGAAGTAAGACAACAATCTGGCTTGAAATCAGGTTTTGACGATTGCAAAATATCCAGAGCCTTTGTAAAAGTATCCGTGTTCCACTATTTGTAAATTCAAGTCTTTTTGTTAGTACTTGGATATTTTCAGCATAATTTTTTGTCCGTACAATTGGATTCCTCCCAAAAAATCTCAACAATGTCCTTTCTGCGTTACCCTTTTCTTACACAGGTTGAAGACCAACCAGCCAGATACCAGCAGTCGACACAATCTCTCCCAGTGGTTCTGCAGGCTGCATAATGACGTCAGTCGCAGAATAGGCAAACCGGAGTTTGACTGCAGCAAAGTGGACGAGCGATGGAGGGACGGATGGAAAGATGGATCATGTGACTGGTGACACAGGATATAGTCAGAGAACAGCCAGCGTGGTGTTGACCTTATTACCTCAGCCAATCATGTCAAGGAATAATGATGTCACCGCATATATCAACCAATGAAATCCTTTAAGCTGTGAAGGTTCTTTCATCATATCCATGCAAGGTCTTCAGCCTATGAAGCAGCTTATCAGGGTACATGTATCTGACCATTTGGCCCTGTAGTTTTAAAATGTATTTATTTCAAGAGTTCCTTTAAAAAAATTATTGAACATCTGATGCAATAATGAGATACTGTGAGAGTTCTAGGTTATGTCAAATTTCTTTTTTATTAAAATAACACAGATGTACAAAAGTATTAAATTTATATTTAAAAAAATGACAAGGTTATACATAATTTGTGTTATTGGTGTCAAAATACTGATTATGTTATTAATATAATGAAACCCATTTATTAAGATTCCTAACTTTTTGCCCAGAATTCAAAAGTATAAGAAGTCATCAACAGATCCACTAGTACACTGGTACAAAGTTACGATTTTATGGCACTGCTAAGTAGACAGTGTTATGATTTCAAAGACCCCACACATTCTAGGAGACAAGAGCAGTAAGCAGAGAAAAAAACATGCTAAGGTGCTAAAATAGTGATGCGGAAATACAAGTCAATGCCTTCAATGTAGAGCTGAGTGATAATATGGAAGGGTTTCTCTCATTCCAACTCGTTCCCATAGTTCAGTCTGGCAACATGTCAAGATTAAACAGGTGTCTCATTGTAGGGCGACCATGTGGACAATTCTATCACAGAAAAATAAAATAGATTTGTTTTGCAATCTTCATGAAAATAACAGTGGGTCAAAAATGTTTGCCATTTGTGGCAGCTATGGACAATTAGTTTATCCTGCTATGGAGAGGAAGGTCGTGGGTTCAAGTCCACCCGAGTCAGTTTATTAATTTTTCTTACAAGCTCTTGGACAACACCGAGTAAACAGTGCTTATAACATTGCATCGGAGGAGAGCAAAATCCATAAAAAAAGAAATGACATGCATTGATTGAAATATGAAAAAAAGACCAAAACGGATGTAATTTATTTAACAACAAACATAAAGCTCACCCATGGTTGATCAATATCTGCCATGTGATTCACCAACTGGAAAGAAACAATGAAAACATCGGTTGTAAGCCTCTCTTTCAACTGAAGCAAGCAAAGCGATAAGGAGCAATAAATGACTGCAGTAACCAACCTTTCTCATCTCTCGTTTGTTGAGTGCCGTTCCGATCATGATGGACTTCCGACAAGACCGCGAGGCAAACATCTGACGTACCCTGCTGGGCCGACACATCACACCCTGTTCACATTGTGAAGGGGGGGGGGGGGAGAAAGAAAAAGACAAGCAAGAGATAAAGTAAACAAACCATCTTAAATAGGTTATATAAAAGTACTGTTTCGACCCATTAATCCAGTGCACACACCAAGTAACATACTTTTTCTGCACTAGATGCTGTCTGAGAGCTTGGGAGAAAAAAAGTCAAAAATAGCTTGGGTGAGACTCGAGCCCAAGACCACCTGATTACTAGCGCAGTGTTTTTAACACTTGACCACAAAGCTTCCTGGTAAGAATCTGCTATAGCAATGGATAGCGTAATCAATGACTTCAAACATAATGTTGTGTCAGTGAAGAGTGAAACCAAAGATGAAGTAACCAGATGGTATGGATTTTGAAGTAACTTGAGAAAGTTTGAGAGACAGGAGAAAGTTCGATAACTCACTGGAGAATCACTGAGCATGAAGATGACTTCATCAATGTCCTCCTTGCCAAAGGTCCAATTCTTGCTCATAGGCAGAGACGTCAATTTGACCCTCTGGGTGGGCATGGCTAAACAGCAAATGAAACACAATGGAATGTGTAAGAACAATGGGAACAACACCGTGTGAATCAACACATCATTGCTAGCAAAAGGGCTTCTTTGTGTCTTTTCTTTGTGAATTATCCTTTTAAGTTGTGTTGAGTTTGAGAGGTACAGTGATAAAACGTAGTCTTCGCAAAACCTACATACAGTTGACCTCATTCTAAGAAAAATAACATTCACACAGTGTACTGCAAACACTTTCCAATTTACTCTTATTTCAGAAGTGACATCAGTTTTTTTTATAGTAAGAGAATTTTTTTTCTAGTCAGAGTAAAATTTACCTTCCATGTCGATACTGAAATCAAATCCGTTCTTCTTGAATATTTCCAGATTGTCTATCAGAATGGACTCACTGACGGCGGTCAGCTCTAAAGGCATGGGCCTGCACAAAGCAAACAACAAAGAATGACAAGCCTAGAATGCACAGAATGGAAACACCTGAATTACTCGTTTTATGAAGGAATCTAGTTTTAAAATAATTTAGACAAGTACCCTTCACTGGTGAAAAATGCAAAAAATCCTAGTAATTAAGGACAAATCCCTGTTTGGCAACTGATCATTGAAAGCCAAACTCCTTGTGAACATTTTTGGGCTCATAAGTAACAATTAAAACAATGTTTGCAATACAAATGCGAAGTTGATGTACTTACTGGATGAGTCTCTGGCCCTGTAGTACTGTGTGCCTCTGCAACATCTCAAAGTTATACTTCTCGTCTGTGGCATGCTGAGTACAAACACAAAATGACAAAATAAATATAACACCTACAATGTGTGCTTAAAAAGTGAATTTGTCTGTCCGCTCAAAACGATGGTGCTAAAACAATCCGGAAACAACTGCTAGGCAACTGTATCTTGTTCCAGTTTTTTGGATTTGATAAAATCTGCTTGAGAGAGATGCAAATTTTAATACCAATTTTCAACCTTTACGGACTTAACTTTACAAGCACTGTATACTCTGTGCTGTGTCCAAGAGCTAATAAAAAACTCACGAGCTTGCTCAGGTGGAACTTGAACTCAAGACCTCCTGCTTACTCAGCAGACATCTTAACAACTACGCCACCACTACCAAGTTGGTGGGGTGGGTCGGGGTGGGGTGCTCAGAAGGTCGTGTGGGTTGGAGGGGAGGTGTGTGGGTGGGGGGGGGGGGTGGGGGGAGGGAAATCACAGTAATACTGACTTAGCTCACCTGGTCAATGATGAACAAGTCCCTATTGTGCTTTGCTATGATGAATCCAAGGTTGAATTGGCCCAGTATCTCCATGCATGAAAACATGTCTTTACTGTGAGAAGAGAAAAAAGCAAATTAGCCATTTTAGGTAATGATGTCGGTATTTAAGAAAAATTCCAAGAATTGTGGTCTTATGTGTTTAAAGGTGGGCAGAGGGGAAACTATCAAAAGTCTGAAATGGATGCTTTAAATAAGATAGAGACATCCACAATTTACCTGACATGTTTCTTGAGTTCCTCTTCTGCCGTGCTGTTGTCTGAAGGAACGATGGTTGCCTTGAAGGTACGAGTCAAAGTTCTTGAGTTGCACCGAGAATCTAGAAATATTGTTATGAGAAGAAAAAGATAAACAAGTTTTCAATCCCCACGTTTTTTATTTAAGGAAACGACTGAAGTGCCAAAATGATTTCAGGATCTCAACTTTCTTGCACTAAAATTAAAGTTCAGTCTGAACTAGTGCTGAACTACGGTTAAAAGTGTCACATACTTTACCTTGTTTGTCTCTCATCCTGTTGGAAAGTACGTCCATTGAGAATGGTACCCTGACTTCTCTCCTTGATGCAGTACCCTGAAAACTGGAGTCATCCTTGAAACAGGTAAAAAAACCAAACAACCTATATCACACTCTAAGCAAGAGAGATCTTTTTTACCTTAACATTTTTTTTCTTGCCACAAATTAGTTATTTATCTATGGGTTTTCAAAACAAATGCTCTTGATTTTTTTGTTGTAAAAATTGCTTCTTTCTTTTAGTCTCCAATTTTTTGAAAGTTTTCCATTTTAAAGAATTTGTAAAGAAAGAGCTTCATGCCTTCGACATTCCCAGCAGACAGCTGAACCATTCACTGTTCTTTGGAAATTCTGATGCAAGTGCTGTGCCCCCTGAATCCCCCCATCCCTGAAAAAATCCCCTCATGATTATGTCTGTCATGGATGAGTGTTCTTTATTATAACACCTACTAAGATCTTACCATGACAAGTACCGTCTGTTGAGTTTTGTTATCTTTCGCTTTCAATGCAGTCATTTCACTGTCCTCTGTTTTGGCGGAAACTGCCACATTTTCTTCATTGGATGTCGGGCCTTCTGTTTCATTTGGAGAATGATTGACTTCGCTGCGACTGCTCAGCATCGTGTCTTGGTTTCTGCTCGAGTCATTCGCTTTGTCTGTCGCGGAGTCATTCGCTTTGTCTGCAGAAGAGGATTCCTCTAAAACACCTTGTAGATTTCTAGTTCTGTCTAGTGTAGGGCAGCCATCTTGTTTAAGGTCACTATTGGGACTTCTTTCCAATTGATCATACGATAACTTTGAACTCAGTTCTTCCGGATCCGGAAGTTTGGAGCATTCTTCAGAGTTTGTCTCAATGTGAGTTCCATGGTCTGGATGTTGTTCCTCATCTATTGTTATATTTGGGTCGACATCTGTGCTGGGATATTCATTCCCTTCTCGACGAGTTGGCATCGCCTCTCCAGAACACACATCTTCATTATTTTCTATTGAATCCTTTTCCATCTGAAATGAGTTATCTTTGCCGGTCTTAATACTCCATTGGGAGTCATTTGTTACATGGTTGTGTGGCATAGAGGAAAGATGGTTGGGAGATTTGGCTGGCTCTGTCTTGGATCTTTTCAACAGGAAAGCATCTAACCTCGGCTCTGAAAAAAAAATTAGGCGAGATGAAAGATGTAAGATTATAGTCTTGATGCGAAATCCACTACAAGTCTGCCACAAGTCAAAATGGGAAATCATTAAGTAACAAGTAACTGGTGAAGAAAATGAACAAAGAATATAGCTTGTGATTTGACTTCAGATTGGATGACTTGTTACTGACTTGTCTTGTGATGACTTGACTATAACTCGAGAACAATACAAAAGACATTTGAATTGAATGGACCTTTACAAGAGAATCAAAGCATTTCATATATTCTTCTGATCCTCGTGAATATTCTGCAAGATGGAATACCTCAAAAACTTGTTAGAAAGGGGAAAACAAAGGGCCCAGTATATTTCACGCCATATATGGAGTGTTGTTACATTTTCTGAGATTAGTGTTCTTCCTTTGGAACTCACGTTTAGATGCTCTAGTCTGTTCTTCATTACTGCTGGATCCTGCATGTGAAAAGGACCTGAAAATGACGGGAAGAAAATGTTTTCAATTCGCAAAATAGGATGACAAGGTTGCACTTTTACTACTAATGTTCCGCAAATAAAGTCGCACAATCAAACATTTCTTGGTGTCGACATGATCTACCTCTTTAATCCAGCTAGTGTCACCTTGAGGCCACCGTAGTCTGGTTTACGCCCTTCACCTGTGGACGCACTGCTTAGAGATGGTCTAGCGAGCGGGCCCGATATTCCTCCAGTCTCAGTCTTTCCACTGTTGGTTCCTGACGATGATTTCATCTGAGAGTTCACATCATAGAGGGACGACCGCGGCTCAAACATCAGCTGCAATGAAGCCTAAACAATCGAATAATAAATAACAGGTTCATGCAGCCATTGTGGTCATGCTCCCTAAGGGCACAGTGGTTATTGCAACAGAGTTGGCAATGACATAAATGGCACCAGCCTAGATTGTAAAACAGGCTACTCAATATAAAAAAATTCTCAATATTTAAAAAAAAAAATTCAACAAACCTTCGGAAACATATCTCTAAAATTTGTTAATCTTTCACAAAAGACATCTCTTTCACGAAAGACAATTGAACTGTCAAAAGTTACTGGCTCTTTTACCTTTAACATAGCTAACAAACTCTTTTCTTCCAGCACAAAGATTTTCCTTTTATCCGGGGTAACATTCACATCCACAGACTCTGAAACAAAAATACAACAGATATCATTTGCACAGTTATTTATTGGAAATTAATTAGAAAATAAAAATGAAATTAACAAATACAAATGAAACACACTGCACTGAAAGTGACAAATATATTGAAAGAAGATACACTACCTTTGGCAAGTGAGATATCCAGAACCACAAACGGATACTGATGTCGGTTGTACATGTGGTAGACCTCATTTACAAGCTTGGAGACCTATAGTGGACAGATATAAATGCAAAGAGTCTTTAATTTAATCCAGGAAGTCTATCCAGTGTGTTGATTGGTCAGTCAAAAGGGCTGTTAAAATATTCACCAGGCCTCTTGTCGATGTAGTATTACTTTTCTGTTTGTTGGTCAGTTCATCTGGCTGCTCAATCAAATGTTCTTTACCTTTCTGAATTTTCACCTATCTGTGGTGAGTTTTCTGTTGGTTGGTCAGACAATTTAGCTATTTGAGCAATGGTTGTTTACCTTTGGGAAGTCACAGGGCCTCTGGTTGATGTAGTAGTACTGTCTGTCCGCACTGCTCCTGCCTTGTCCATGGTCACTCTTGGACACATATCCCGTCAATCTGAACAAACAAATAAACAAACAAACAAATGAACAAATGAATAAATATTGATATTAAAGACAGATAAAAACAACAGTATCATGCTTAATCCTTAAAAATAACATTTTAAGGGGAAACCTCTTAGTTCAACATGTCTCTCCATATTAACTGGAGCACTGAGTGTGATAATTAAGGCTATGTTGAATTTAGAAATATTCGAAAATTCATTGAATTATTGAACATTTCAATGCTACTTTTATTTTTCAAATATTTGCATAAGGATTTACAAGGATTTAGAATAAAAATTAATTTCCTCACTTGAAGAGCTGGTCTTGCAGTTGCTGCTCTGTTATTCCGTACTCCTCACACTGTTCAGAACTTGGAGAGGCTTGGGAAAATTCAAGCAAACTCTGGAGCTGTGAATAAAAGAAATTAAAAACATCAACAGGATTTTTAAAGAGCTTGTCACAATCATGAAATCATATTTATAAAATATCAACCTCTCAATAAAATTACTGCAACAGTCCTACTGTAGTAAAATCATTGGAAATGTTTACTATTTACCTGCTTTTGTCCAAAGACATTGGCTATATTCTCTTTTAGCAAAGTGTTTCCACTAGTCGACAGAACCGGAGAGCGTTTCCTGTAAAAAGAGACAGATTTATATAAAATACACTGAGCTATATTTTATAAACTGAAGCAGTTCCTTCAAAATTGAGTAAGGTAGAGCCCAGCTCTTACTTTTGGAAGGGGCTTGATGCGCCTTGAAATTCAAAGGAAAAAGAATGGGCCATTATTTAATGCAAAGATTAAGGACGTTTTCTAGCCAAAATGCCCAGGGAGTAGAGGTTTAAGGACAACCTTCCATCTAGTTTTTTACTTCAAGGACTCACCCCTGGCCAACTTGGTTGGTGCAAGTCAGTTTGACACCTGAGCTTATGATCCCGTAGGCCTGTAGCAACTGCGCCATCTTGGTAAATTCCTTCACAAGAAAACGGGTGTGACAAATTAAAAGTAATTAAACTATGTTACATGGAAATATCACTACAGTAGGTAAGTTGTCATAAATTTCCTTGGTAACAGTTGAGTTGGTGTAATTCTATGTCCCTGGCTTCACATGAGGAGAAGTACTGCAAACCAGGACCATTAATGTCACAGTCTTTTATCAATTTGCTATTCTTGATGGTCATTTGTTTACCTGGCCATCCTTGACCCAGATGCAGTTACTTCTTGAAAACACAGTGTACTCCTAACGGACATGCAGGGTACGCAAAAGAGGTATATTCCTGGTATGAAGTCAGTAAAGGATGGCAGTAAAGGATGGACTAACCTTTTTCAAATTCCTTAGGAATTCCTTGTGCCTCACAGGCAGGGTAGAAAACAAATTCTGCAGTGTGACTGTAGTCCCATGCTGGAAAAGATGCAAAAAAAAAAAAAAAAAAAAAGACGACAAGTGTATTTCATTGTTTCCTGACAATACAAGCGATCCACTATACAGAATAGCTGACTTTTGATAAAAATTGAACTACCTACCTGTCTTGGACAGGGTGTCTGTTTCACCAGCTTGCCGTTATGGTCATACTCCAACCTGCTTCCAACACTCACTGATTCATGACAAGTAACTATCGTCATGTCACTACAAGGGAATCAAACAAATAGTATTCAGTTATTTCACTCTGTGAGGTCTACATTAAAGTTCATAACACCCCAACATAATGGAACATAATCTACTGCCCTTTCAACACATTTAACTTCCCGTTTTGGAAAGTATTAAAGTAAATGGATTCTACCTCAGAGCACACAATGAGCTGAGGGCTTCACCGCGGAATCCAAATGTGTCCACGCTGCTGAGATCTGAGAAGTCCTTGAGTTTAGAGGTGTGGTGCTTCAAAGCTAAAAACAACGAAGACAAAAAATCAGTTAATGCAATAACCATGATTACCTTCCTCAAACGTAGAAAACATTTCTAAACACCGGTGCAATGGGAATGGCACTGAGTATATCTGTAGATTTACAACTTATCAAATGTGCAATTTCCCATTATTACCTAAGGAAAATGACAGAAGAGAACGACTATTAAAAGCTCCAATGTTCTCTGCTTATACTAATGGTTGATGCGTTTAATGCTGAAGGTTTAGATACACAAAGGGGCTGTTTCTTACTCAGTCCCTGGAAATTGTTCTCCTCTACTCCTGATCCATTGTCTGTGACCTCCAAGATTTCAGAGCCATACTCCTTCAGACGAATATCTACAAGACAAAAGAAATTGAAAAAAAAGGAAAACTGAAAATTCATACCCAATTATTACTGTATAAGCATTTTATTGTATAGGCCTACATATAGCAATCATAAATCTGAACATATTTCAGGAAAGTCAAAAATCGTCACCTATGTTTGTGGCCCCAGCATCCAGTGCATTCTCCACCAGTTCCTTGACAGCGGTTGCTAGATTGAGAACTACTTGACCCGAGCAGATCCGATGCACTGACTGCTTGTCAATGGCTTTCACACTGCCAGCCATCATCTTGATCCTGCGTCAATATCACTGCAAGTAAATTCTTCAGTATTAATTTTGGTGGTGTTGCAACACCACCAAAATTAATACTGAAGAATTTACTTGCACCAAAACAAAAACTGGTAGAAACGAAAATTGGTAGTCCTTTGGAGCAGAAAAAAGTTTTAGAACTGAAGTGATCTTGGTGATTAACAAGTTTTACCAAACAAACGAGTTGGCAAAGCCACACTGCACTGCTAATTGATACTGATGATACTTGATAAATGATAGAAACAAAAGTAGGTAAACACGTAGCCCCATAAATGTGGCCTATTTACTGGACTGCCTCCGTAAACATAGGCCACACATCCACATGTACAAAAATCGTGTCGACGGAGCCAAATTTTGATTTTCACATTTAGGCTTAGTTTGTAGGGTTTTTTTGCTTTAGAAGCATACTCACCCTCTTTACACGCTAATCAGAAAGTGCTGCCTTTTTCAGATGTCTAATTTTTGTGAAATTTCATGTTGAAATTTTGATACGCAAACGTGTAAAAATGAATCTGGAAATTTCACGAAAAATATACATCTGAAAAAGGCAGCACTTTCTGATTAGCCTATAAAGAGGGTGAGTATGCTTCTAAAGCAAAAAAAACCTACAAACTAAGCCTAAATGTGAAAATCAAAATTTGGCTCCGTCGACACGATTTTTGTACATGTGGATGTGTGGCCTATGTTTACGGAGGCAGTCCAGTAAATAGGCCACATTTATGGGGCTAGTAAACACGATGTCATTGTCACTGTCAGTTTTTTTAATCTTGTCGAAATTCGAATTTCGTCGTCAGACATATTGTGTTTGACATTCCTTTTATATACATGTTATATCCACAAGACAGGTAGCTCTCTTCTGGATTTAGTCAAATGATTTTTCCTACAACTTACATGAGTTACAAGAAGGATTCATGAAGCTTCCCACTCATACTCATGCACCTTAGCAGGGTAGCACTAGCAGTCGACGACAAGTTTCCCGGGAATCCTCGTTCAACATTTACAATAAACTACGATAATTGTATTTAGAAGAATCTGGATACAATTGCACAAAGTATTAACGTTTAGCAGTATTTAAATTTTAATTTTTTTTCTATTAACAATTACAGGAAATAATTGAAATATGATAATAAAAGCGTCATCTTAAGTAAAAAACAATATGATGTAATGTGGGAGCGAGCCTGAAAAAAATCCAAGATGGCAGCCACCGTGAACGTTTTACTTCCAAATGGCCGTCGACAAAATGTGAAAGTAACTGCGAATACACGCATTTTGCAGGTACATTACTTTAATAAAAGTAAAAAGAAATTGTTTGTCGAATATGTCATTGGTTTTGTTTATTTCGATTTTCCCCAGGATGTTTGGTAGAGTGTAGTTTCTTTCATGCGTAGTCATCTTGCATATTACTGGTGCATTGTGCATGGGGGGGGGGGGGGGGGCGTGGCTTACCGTGGAGACACTTGTAATGCTTGATGGTTGACTTCAAAAAATTGAATCATTTTTGGGGGTACTGATTTTTAAAAAAAAAATTTTAACATATGAAAAGCAGTACCGGGGATACAGGATAATTTTGATAGGCTTTCTTTAGTATAGTTTCAATAAAGGCTGCATTGTATTTTTAATTTTCACATTCAAAATCCTACAAAATCTTAATTAAAGAGTGAAAACAGAAAAAACAAATGCTGTACAAATACAATCTCTGAATATTTGACACAAGCTGACAAGTGTCAATTTTCAGTATTAAATCTGAAATTGTTAATTGTTCATGCATGTGGTATTTTTCTTCAAGGTCATTGAAAATGTGTGCGGCAAGATTGGATTGAATCCTGATGAGTATAATCTGAAGTAAGTACTTAAATGCTAATTGAGAAAATCACAAAATTACGGAATCATATCGCCTCATACAAAAAAGGCCTTTTCAGTTCTGCAGGTTATTGATTACTGTGTATGAGAGTTCCAAAATGTAGGTATTGAAAACATGCAACACAAGAAAATAGACTCGCATGTGAAACAACCAGTCCATCACCCCTTTTAGTACTGCATCAGTCAACTGTGTCAAAAGAAACATCTGGTACGTGGTCTCTATTTCTACACCACTGAATGGTCAATCTTTTCAAATAGTTGGACATGTACCAGTCTAATCTTTAGGCTTTAAATTGAAATTATTTGGCTTCATTCTCATGTGCAAAATGTTGAAGAAAAGTCTCCTATAAAAATTGAATGGAGACTTCAAATTTAGCTGGTGAAATACAGAGGACCTTGTCTTTGCCTCATGAAAATTTTGGATAAATTTGTCGCCTAAAGATTGAGTAAAGTTGGCCTGATTTTGTTTTGCATGTTTTCTGCACTCAAGGTCTCAGCCTGCTCAAGGACATCAATTAATTGTTTTTAACCTTGTGGATTTGCTAAACTCATGAGAGTGTATTAAAGTGCAATTTGTATTGATTTGGTAGGCACATTCGTAGTATCCTGGACCCGCAGCTGTCGATCCGCTATGCTAACCTGCCCAACAACTGCAAACTGGAGCTAGTCAAGGCAGACCGGCCACGGACAGAGTCGGCTGTGTTCATCGCTTTGCAGGTAGAGTCCGGGGAGAGACTGCAGGGGGAGTTTGCTCCGCCCACCAGCCTGTGGGATATCCTAATACACTGGGAGACCAAAAACGAAAGGTGAGATGAGCTGGCCGACTCTGCAACCTGAATCAGTTCTGATTTTGATTTGGAAGTAACCCTGATTTGAGGATTTGTCTCTTTATAATAGCCAATTATATTTCCCAATGAGTTGACTCCAGGCAGTGCTTGTAGTTCTAAAGACTTGCTGACCTGAACTGAAATTCTGAGATTGGGCAAGTTTTGGAGAAAAAAGATGATTCTATACACGTAGAATGCTTTAAGTAAGATTGCATCTTATCACATAGTGAGATGATTGATCTGCTTTGTCTGACACTTAAGAATGAATTTGACATAGTAAAAAAATCATGTATGTTTACTAAGAGATTGTTGCTAAATGACTGACTGAGCTGGAAGTTTTGTAAACTGCATCCATTTTGACTTGTGTCCCGTGAACTTTTCTTTCCTTTTGTGATTGTGTAGTATGACTGGCAAGTTGGCTGCATCTTCCCAAGCAGATGACACAGGGAAAGCCATCCATCCTGTGTGTATCTACTTGAGGCAAGAGGTATAAACTTAAATTTTCATCAAATTTATTTGAAAACAAAAAAGGTTGCTAATGAGTGGTAATGTCCTTCAAGAGTGATATCCTTCTTCACCAGTGTCAGTTGTACTTGCAAAGTTTTCTTGGAGGATCCTCGGATAATCTTTTATGATTATCATCAGAATATTAAGGGAGTCTTTCTTTTACACTGAGTTTTCAATTTTGTTTTTCATATAACAGATCGTAGGAGAAGCCTGGCTCAGAGCAACTACATTGAAATCCTTAGGATTGACAGGTGGAAAAGCAATCATCAGGTAAAATCATAAAGCCAAATGCTTTGTCTTTTCGGGGACGTGGAAGGTCAGAATTACTTCAAATCGAAATGGGGGATAGTGTTTGTGATATGATTCATAACATTTTTTTTTTATTTAAAGTTACGTGACAAATTGTATTCCATTAATGGTCTTTTGTGGCATCTTTCATTAAATGTGCATAACCACTCTTCCCAGGCTAAATCACAGAGCAGTCGATCTCCCAGCTCCACCCTCCACCCAATCGGCAAAGACTACCCCTGCAATTAAAATCCAGCAGTCCAGTCAAGCATCGACTTGTGCTCCACAAGGGCTGCCAACTTCAGTATCTAGGGGTGGTGATGACACAGATACCGGAACGAGTCAAACAAGTTCGCAAGAAAGCAGAGACACGAGATTAACTTTAGAAGTGTCAAAAACTAAAGGTGCCCAGAACAAAAACAACAGTGAACCGCAAGATTTCCAACCAGAGTCATTGAGTTCGGATCGTCCAGAGCCAATGGACGTTGAAGAAACCACAAATGCAAGCCAACCTACTCCTGTTGGCAGTAGAAGTCATGAAGGGGAAAGAGAGAAACGTCCACAACAAACGCAACCAAAACAGAAGGGTGTAATTCAACAGCAGAGTCCCAGCTTAGAACTCACCCCAGAAATGGAGCAGGTAAAATAACACTATAACAGTGATTACTCTGCCCACAAACAATGAGAGAAAAATTCACAACCTAAACCTTTATGTGAGTATTTTTTAAAAATATTTTTGACAGGGGACTAATTTGTAGAAATGGTGACTGGAAACAAGATGTTGGTTTACACTTGATTTGAACAAGAATAGTACATGCATGTTGTGTTTTTCTGAATGCAGCGAGCCAATATGATGGGGGCAGCCCTAGCCGAAGCCATTCTAAAGCATCGCACTGAGCAGCAGCTAGCCCAGCTGAAGCAGTCTTGGTCTGCTCAGCCACAGCCACAGCCACAGTACCGGCCACAATTTGCAGATTTCAAGGTAGGAATGCAATCCAGAATCCAGTTTGTCATTGTATTCTTTCATTATCTGGTGATTTTTACAATATATCTAAAGTGTTCTCAACTTTCGTTTTGGGATAGACTTTAAATTATTACTGTTTTATTATTATTCTTGTTTATTAGAAACAAAATATATTGATCACAAACAGCATAAATGCTGCCAATTGCAATATTTACAAAAAAGCTAAAAGTTCATACATGCAATAAAAAAAGATGATTTTGTGTCATCTAAAGAGTTCCTTTGCCTGCTATGTACATTTATTGCCAAGTAGAGTCTTACAGATTTTCATATTTGTACGCCATATCGGCATTCTTGTATTGCAATTATCAATACTTCAATGGATTTAATACATTCCTACACCTAACATTTTTTATCTTTAGTTTCCACAGCAACCAAGTAGCCAATCACAGCCCTCGTTAAGCCCCCAGCAGCAGTCCAGCAAGCCCCCAGAGCCTTGTGAGAGGCATCCTCTCGTCTTCAGCCTGGATCAGGTTACCGGTGATCCATCGGATACCAGTCAGGACTTGCCTGACAAGTTCTTTGAAGTCACTGTGGACGATGTCAGAAGAATGATGGCAGATCAGCAGTTACATATGTGAGTAAAATGAGTAGCTTTTAATATTTTACTTACCTTTCTGTTTGCAACCTTTTTGTTTTAGAAATAATCACAAGCCTCCTCGTGTGCGACTCGAACCCGCGACCTCCTACTTACCACTCAACCTCTGAACACGTTGGGTCAGCCCATTCAAGCAATCTTATGACTTCTTTTTCTTAAAAATCTTCTTATGATTTCTCTGAGCCTAAAATGTTATGTCGATAGTGGGTTAAAACCAACGATAAAGATGCATCTCTTTTGCGTTTTTATTTATCTAGGAGTGGCAGCGAGGATCAGCATCTGCAGACCAAGGCAATGCGGGAAGCAAAGGCTCTCAAGAAGGCTCAGCAATACTCCCAGGCGGCCGTCCGCGTCCACTTCTCGGACCGCTATGTCCTCCAAGGATTCTTCAGGCCTCTAGAGACCATCAAAGCTCTCAGAGACTTTATTCGAGGTCATCTACAAGACCCTGGAATTAACTTTTACCTGTACACCACCCCACCGCGTTGCATTCTCAAAGATGACTCCTTGTCTCTTTTCAAGGCTAACCTCTTTCCGGCCGCTGTGGTCCATTTTGGCTCCGAGGCAGCTTACGATCACTACCTACGGACGGATCTCTTGAGTGAGGTGACATCTTTCACCAAAGCAAAAGAGGAAGCTGCATCAGTTGTTAGGAGCACCTCAAAGGACGGGGCTCGGGGAACAAGTGGCTCAAGCAGCAGTCGGATCGGACAGCTCGGCTTATCAAGTGAGTACTAAAACTATTTAATTGCTATTTTCAGTCCCTGCTAGAAACGATGAGTTTTCCTCCAAGCTTGTAACCGAACACCTCTTCATTATCTTTGTCTCCAGTTTCTTCAGGCTTCCTAACAATACTAAAAATCCTTGTTTATCACTGCTTCATCTTAATGTAATCTCATTGTCTCATCCATGATGTTTTGGTGTTTTTTTTTCAATAGGTGGAGCCTCAACATCCAAAGCCTCTGCCCAAGGGAAGAAAGACGGGTCCAGTAAAAGACAGGCCACTGGCGAGGCGGCCGCCAACTCAGAGAAGATACCCAAGTGGTTCAAAATGGGTAAGTCAAACACATACTCCTTTCCAAACCACAGGCTGCTTGATATGTTATTTCTTGTCAAGGTTAGCTTTTTATATAACCATGGTTCCCAAATCCTGCATGCTCCGGCTTGTTGCATCAACTTGGGATAAAGCTTACCCTACATTTACGTGATATTGCTTTTCGCTTGATAACCATCGACTGGGCAAGGTCCTGGGACAAGATGTGATATGGTGCACCGAGTAGTCCAACACATTCTAATCTGAATCAGTTTCTCGATATAAATGTATAACTTCGGCTGTTGGGTTTTGTGGTAAGCCCGATGAAAGCCCTTACGATTACAGCCCATATTCATTAGGGTTGTCTCCACAAAGTGAAACCACTTCTTCCTGTTTTTTTTTCTTTACAGGAAAAAGGTGAAAGAATCATCATTAGGAATCAGTACAAGTTATGAGAATCTATTGACATTACATGTATTTGATCAAAAGCTATTTAAAAAAATAATCCTTGAGTTATTTCATTTTGTCCATTATTTAAGACACTCGTTCTGAAACATTTGTCTAACAACTGTCTACATATTGATAACACTTGTATATCCAAAAAGTTAAAATTACATTTCTCTTTTGAAAGCATTTTTAAAATGTTGTAAAATGTTCTGCAAAGTCCTGTAATGTGTCCATGACTAGCAATTTCATAGGGAGACAAGTTGTATTTTGAGACTTTGCAGTTCTTGTTTAATTGATATTCAAAAGATCATGTGGCCTCCTTTATAATTTTTGATATGCAATTGTGTTCTTCACATTAATATTAAGCTCAAAGTTTCATTATCAAACTTCTTAACAAGATTTTTTTTAGTTTGCAGAATCAATGGTTTGTTTAATGCCGGTTTAAACTAAATCGCTCTCAAAGCTAAATGCAGACATTAAGATAGACATCTTTGCTCATAGAAAGCTATCAAAACGTGTGCTCCTTAATAATAATTTATTTCAATTAAAGAAACATCTAAGTGGTTCCTTAATTAAACAAATTTAACGTAATTGCAGTGCCTTGTGTCTTTGTTTGTTATAAAAAAGTAGAAAGCGTCAATGAACCAAATTACAATTTTATATGACATTTGCCAAACAATTAAAACCTCACAAACTTTAACAAGTTTAAAATACTGTTTTATGAAAAGAGTGAGCAAAATGGCCCTTTCCAATAATTAAGAAGTTGGGCGAACAATCTAGAAAATATGAATTTTGTGTGCGTAGTGTATCAGCACTTTGAACTTGGCTTCGTGCCTAGCTCAGTCAATGAGAGTTTGCGATAAGGCAAATTAACTTACTGTTTGTATTGTTTGTTTGATTGTGATATTGCGACACGAAAGGGTATTGTTTCCTCCTGGAATCAAAGCCTTATCCTTGAACTTTTGGGCAAAGAATGAACCTGTTTACCTAGGCAGTCGCCAAAAGTTTGTCGCTCCCAAAAGTTTGTTCACTTGTTTTTGCTGGTCTGCAATCAACAGAATGATTACCTCAATGAGATCAACCCCCAAAGTTTACTCGGTCGACACTGAGAGGGCAAATTTTGTACCAGTATCCTGAATGACGTGGGTCTGAATTGAACTCGGGTCACAAGTGCATTCGGTTTCCATCGCCTGTTTCGCATAGATTGATTTTTGACCGGGCCTGATTCATAAGTCCCTGCCCTGTTCTCAACATTGGCCTTAACTTTCAGATCCTTCTTGAAATATTTTCGTGAATTCTACAGATTTTAGGAAGCTACAGCCCAGTCACGATTGCTTGACTTTGTAATTGATGCCCTATGAAAGTAAAAGTACATGACATTGTATTTTCGCAAAAGGGAATTTGTTTGCTACTTAAGAACGTAAATTTTCTAATTTTCCAAATTCTATAATTTTGCAGAATCCCAAGGCACATATCGTGTATTCCCAATACATCTAGACCCAAATATAGTGAAAGTGGCCACGATGTACTATCCATAATTGCCAAAAAAAACCTAAAACCTAGAGGTGTCTTTTGAAGTATTTTTTTTGGGGGGGGGCCTTTGGTTAAAAAGAACAACAGATATCAGTTTGGAAAAACTTCTTTTTCAAAGATACTCTTACTCTTATTATCAAGGGGAAAATGTAGTAAAGGGGGAAAGGGAGCATGAAGCCATGAATTTCAAAGGTTAAGTGTTCTGTGCGATAGTCATTTTATGAATCCGGGGTTACTTTCTGACCCGACCGACATTGCAATTCTTGTCTCTCTGAAAAAATTATGAATGGCTTCACGAGTACACGTACCGCTTTCAACCAATCAGCAGTGCGCAACCGATAAAGGAAGACCATGAATAGGAAATTCATTGGCCATAGTCCCCCGGGCCCGCAAAATGTATTACAGGTCAATAATCGCGATTTTGTTTTCGCTGAGCGCTTTGCCACTTGCGTACTGTCAACATAAATTAGAAAGAACGCTGAACTGGGAAATGTGTGCGTGTACTGCTACACAAAATGACGTGACTTACTAGAAGTAAATTCATGCGATGTTAAAAAAAAAAATAGTCAGTGCGAATTTGTAAAGTGTTGGTAGACTTTAAGATTTGTAAATTGTGAAAAAGTATAATTTATCCATACGTAAATTTCAAAATTTTCATATCAATCAATTACAACATTTTGTCTTATTCAAGCAAGTTCTAGCACTTTTTAAGTGTGCCTTTTTTGTTTAATCAGAGAAACTCTTTCAATCAAAGGAGTAAGTTGTGTAATTTTGGATCGGAAATCAGCAAATTTTGTTTCTCGGAGCAAGCAATATAAAAGAGTTTCTGCTCAGCTGCCTTGGTAAATTATTGAGACTGTGACAAATGGTGTATATTTTCTAAACAGCTCTATGGTATTTTCCCAAAGCTATGGCTTCCTGCACTAGTTGCTATCTTTTTTGTCACATGACTCGTAAGCCATATATATTAGAACTATTCCTGATGGGACATCTCGCAGCCTCATTCTGGCGCATCAATTCTTATGCTAATAATCTTTCCCTTTGAACTTTGTAATCTCCCACAAATACATCACATGTCGATGACATCAACATGTTTATTCATTTGCATTTTCCCTGCACGTAATGGCTAATCAGACCCTAGTTAGATATTAAAAGTAATTAAACTGCTGATTAAGATTAAGACTTTAAGCTGTGACAAAGGTCACATGGGATGGAACTTGGTCCGTTACATACGCATACCAGCGGTCAACAGACTTTGAGGGGAACAGGCAGTGATGTGATGCTTTCCGACACAGATTCATGAAGACAAGTTTTGATGGCACACGCTTTTTCGTCAGATCTTGGTAAGTGTTGCTGCAATTTAATTGTTTTGATATAATTTTACTTTTACAATTATTTGTGAGAGCCAGTCATAAAAGGGAATTTCCACAGCCAGGTTTTAGAAACTGAATGCGCTTACAAAATAAGGGAACCCTAGAATAGTACATTCCTTTCCCAAAAGTTCATGAAAATTGCTCTGAAAGTACATTGGATATTTAAGTTTGCCTGCTTTCTTCTTTTCTAGAGACAGCTTTGAACCAATTGCCTTTCATTGTCTCGTGTGACATGACCCTAACATTTTGTACCCTAACTTTTTGCGCCTATGACCCTAACTTTTTGTTACCATTTTGTGATGTGTAATGCATAAAAAATACATGTAATTGAAAGCAGGACACTAGCCACAAAATCTGCATGCATGTATGCAAATTATACAAATTCCATTGTAATTATATTCATAATTACTTTCACCAGGTAAAACGTGATTAAAAGCCAGTTGTGGATAAGGAGGCAAAATACATTTGACTCTAACCATTTGTTAAGTAATTAAGGGGGCCGGGCTGAGAGGGGGGGGGGGGGTATCGTGATTTTTTTTTTCTGGGGGGGGGGAAATTAAGTCCACTACAACTGAAAGTTTAGTGACCTTTGCTGTTTCCAATCTCGGTCATATTTCCAGTGGAAAAGGTAAAAAAGACGCAAAAGTTTGTCGGCCTTAATTCCATGTTTGTAAATGGCCAGGAAGTTCAAAGTGTATTGTCAGACAACGACAAGTGTATCACAATGGTTAACAGTGTCCCTAGTCAATAACTCTCATGTTGCAATACCTTTGTCAACTATGAGGAGAAAGGCAAACATATTAAGTCTTTCAGGCCTTTGTGTACTTTGCTACAGTCATACCATCCATGCACACACAAGGTAATTTTCTGAAATTGCTATTGACATGATTGTTATCTTCAGTTGCACTGATAAGTTCCCTTATGAGCTGCACAGAATTATAAAAGGAAATCCATGCGTGTATTTAAATATCCTGATGAATTACGAACTTTGTTTTAAATATGGTTTTGTGATGCCAAGCATCGTATTATATGTCGGAACAAATTTGCAGATTCAGAAAAGAACAGCCAAATATGAGCTTGATTTATGCTGCTTCACTGTCCAGTCTGTCATTAAGTTTTGGTTTGTACCGGAACTAATCTTATGCTAGTCAGTAATGACATGGCCAGATTGCATAATGTTTCTATTCATAGTAATCTAACTGATTGTTTCGATGGCATTAATGCAGTGTCTATCCACATAATGCTCTGTGGTTGTTATGAAACCAAGGATGAGTATAATTTGCAAAGGCAAGCATATCACAGCAGTACATTCCTTATACTACTACACTGTTTGAGCTGATTGAAATTTCATACATTAATTAATTTCAATTTTGTCATGCCTATATGCGACCTAGTGTGTCATTGGATCTATCACTGAATGATTTATTTAATATTCAGATAATTACCGAAATAAGCTCCTCCCTTTTGGACTAATAAGGTAACAATTATCAAAAGTAACCTTTGAAGCGACTCCATATTGTAAACAAAACCAAAGTTGTTTTTATTCTTTTAACTTCTTATGTTTCCTACGGACAGTTGTGGTTCGCAAACCTTTGTGCACAATACAGGATATGACTGCTGCATTCTCAGTGCTGAACAGGTTTAATAAGAGATCTAAAACCTACCTTGTTGTTTGAAAAGCAGCAAATAGAACTTTTAAGGAATACATAGACATTTTTACATGAAAACTTACCATTTGTGTTTTCAGATGCATGTACTTCAGCACAGTTTGCCCTTGATGCGTATTTGCATAAATTGAATATCAAGAACCTAGGACTAAAATCCAAGATGGGTAGAACTTGGAACCAGTTCCTGCTCCTCTTCTGGAAGAACTGGACCCTCCAGTCACGCAAAGTCATCCTCACTATCTTCGAGATCCTTATTCCTTTGGTCTTTGCTGCCCTGCTGCTCATCATACGCTCGTACGTGGAGTTCGAACAGTACGAGTCGCCGATAGTCTACGGTTCCCACAGTGTCAACCAGCTCCCACCGACACTTCTGCCACCAAATGTGACCAACTCCACCCTTCCGCCGTACTATTGGAAGATTGCCTATGCGCCAAAGGGCAAAGCTGCTGATGAGATCATGAGGAGGGTGGTGGAAAGGCTGAAAACCAATTTCACCGTGGTTCAACCTGTGCAATTGGAGAGTGGTAAGTTACAAGGCATGATACTGTTCTGAGCCTTTAATTTTAAAAAAGATGAATTGAAAGTGTCATTATTTTCAATGGGCAATTGTCAATAAAGTCCAAATATCGAACTCTCTATTTCACAGCAATGGGTTTCAACTCTGAGGAAGATCTTCTCGCAGTCTTGAAGCTCACCCCCACTGAGAACATCCTCGGTGGCATCATCTTCCAGAGTGGTTTCCAAGACAACGGGAAGGGCATCCCGGCCAACTTGACCTACAAGATCCGACTGAGTAACTCCATGCGGAATGTGGAGAAGCAGAGTAGTTTCATGACCCAGTGGCAGACCCAGTCGCTCTTCCCGTTCTACCAGCTGCCAGGACCAAGGAACAAAGATGATACGTATGGCGGAGTACCAGGCAAGTCTTGTAGGATCTAGTAGATCTATGCATCCTGAAAGTTTTACCCAGGGTTTAATTAACAGTCTCTTAGTTTCAATCCAGTCATCACAAGTCGTCTAACATTAATTAAAGAAACAGGCTATTTGAAGGAATTGTGACAAAGGCGTGACCTTTTTAGTGATTAACTTTTGATTTTACTTAATTGTGATGGACTTGACCTCAACATTTTTCTATATTTAGTTCGGTTTACATTGCAAACAAATGTCGGTGTGTCACAAATTTGTGTCATAAGTGGCAGTTTTCTCTGCTTTAAATTAACCAAGTTAAACACATTTGTAATGATTCTTTGACATCAAGTTGCTTTCGCATGAAATATGAACCAATTTTTAGTTGACCATGTACCCTGTGAACAGTTAAGTCAAAGGGAGGCTGTTCTTGCAAGCTTCACTCCCTTGAATAATTTCTTACCAAACAACTTCGCATCCAGACCCAAAATAGTCTTTGCAGTTTTGCAAAGTTATCGACCTATCCAGAACGGTAAGTCTAAATGAATTTACATTTGAGCTTACCTTATAAGTCTTGCGTCTTCAACAGGTTACTACCGTGAGGGATTCCTGGCTTTGCAGTACGCTGTAGACATGGCCATCCTCCAAGCCCAAGGTGCTACCGTCAACCACGCGACCCTGATGCAACGCTACCCCTACCCACCGTACATAGATGACACTTATGTGGCTGTCCTACAGACCACTCTGCCAGACCTGATCATGGTCAGTCTGGTTCTGGTGGCTCTCGGTATCGCCAAGAATGTGGCTTACGAAAAGGAGAAACGATTGAAGGTAATGGCAAGGAGGACAGGGAAGGAAGGGAAAAAAAAGCTGCCAGGGTTGAATCTTGAAAACCTTCAACTGTTTATGTGTTGTTAAAAAGTACAGAAGGGTAATAAGGCTAGCCATCCATGGCCGCAATGAGTATTTTACTAGGGTGAAGAGAGACAACTAGGGGTAAAGTGGCTTGCCCAAGGACACAACATATGACCAACAGCAGGATTCAAACCCCAGACATTCTGATCATAAGTTGCAAACCCTGACCACTATGCAAGTCCATCCCCTTCTCTAATGTCACTAAATGGTCTTCCTTACTGTTTTTGTTTTGTTTCAAAACAGGAAGCCATGAAGATGATGGGTCTGGCCAACTGGATCCACTGGTCGGCCTGGTTCATCAAGTACTTCATCTACCTCCTCATCACCATCTCTCTCATGACGCTCATGTTCTGCATCAAGGTCGGTGACCTCCGTGCCGCGGTGGTGACCCACAGTGACCCCTCTGTCATCTTCGTATTCCTGATGCTGTATGCTACAGTCAGCATCATGTACAGCTTTGCATGCAGTGCACTGTTCTCAAAAGGTAAAACTCAATGAACCAAATAAATGGTATCTTGTTTAGTTATTCAAAAAACCCTGCCACCAATACTTCTAGGTTGGCCCAACTCTGTAACGCAAATCTGAAATTGGTGACGGAGACATCAAATATGTCACAGTTCATTTGAATGCTGTTGTCACGTTGGAACATTGACCAATGAAAGAAGTGCATTTGGCTCATGAATATGTATGAGTTGTTAAAGTCTAGTTTCCTGTCTCCCTTTAGCTAACTCAGCCGCGGTCGCAGCCGGTGTGTCGTGGTTCATTACCTACATGCCGTACTACTTCATCATGTTGTTCTATCAGCGGATGACCCTGCCTGGCAAGCTGGCATGTTGCCTGCTGTCTAACACTGCCATGGGGCTGGGAACACAACTCATTGCTATCTTTGAAGGCACAGGTATGTGAGTGCTTGGGACTCTATTTGTGGTTCCTTCATGTGGATAGTTAGCTATTCTTAAGTTTATGCACTGGATTTTTTTTATGACTCTGAATGTTATGATGGGAGAATTTCAAAGAGTTTCCGACCATACAGATGTTTCACAAATTATTCATTCAATATCAATTCTTTCATGCAAACTAACAGTCAAAACCACATTGACAGCATTTTCACAATTCACACCCATTTTGAAACTGAAGATCCCAAATACAATTGATGCACTTTTTTTTTAGAATAAAGTCATACTTGCTCTCTTTAAAACTTTGTAAAAGCTAAAGCAAAGAGAACTTTTTCATGTTCATTTAAAATTTCACTTTGAATAATGCATTCAAAGCTTACCTCTGGTTGGTGGAATGAAGGTTTCCGGCATTTAATTTAATTTCTTATTTTTTTAATTTCAGGAGAGGGCGTACAGTGGAGCAACATCAACAGACCAGTATCGGTGGATGATGACTTCACATTGCTACACATCATGCTGATGATGGTAGGGGATATCATAATCTATGGTGTCTTCACGTGGTACGTGGAGGCTGTGTTTCCTGGAGAGTACGGCGTACCACAGGGATGGAACTTCTTTTTAAAGGTGATTAGGGAAAATTTTTGGCTGTCCGTAATCCTTCATTCTTTGACTTTTTAAAGAAATATTATGTCAGGAAAAAGTGCATTTGAATACCAGGTTTCGCCCTTTACTAATTTAATAAACACGGAATACTCATGCATTGATATCCGAGGAAATATTTGAGGAAAATTTCACAACTTCCCAAAGTTTGCTTCCATCTTAATATTTTTGTCTTTTTTCTTCTGTAGCCATCCTATTGGTGTGGGACACCCGTCATCACAGAAGTACTCGCGGGCGACAGTTTTGCAATGAAGGTTCGGTCGGGAAGTTTTTTCGAGGAGGAACCAACTGACATGGAGGCTGGGGTCCAGATCAGGGGCCTGACTAAGGTACGGCAGAAAAGGTCCCTCTTTTTCATCATAGCACCCTCAGGTGTCCCCAATTTGCCAGATGTCCCATTTTTTTTTAATGGCAGTCAAACTATGAAAAAGTGTCATACTGTATTATATATCTCAGTACATGCTGTGAACTCAACACCTCACCTTTTACTGTTACCATGACAACCACCAACGTGACTCCTTATGATACATCTTGCAATAATTGTTGATGTTTTTCCGCAGATCTTTCCCAAGAACAAAGCGGCCGTCAACGGCATCTCCCTGAACATGTACCGAGGCCAGATCACCGTCTTACTAGGCCACAACGGTGCTGGCAAGACCACCACCATGTCCATGCTGACCGGCTTCATCCCGCCAACCAGCGGCACGGCTTTTATGAACGGATGCAGTATCCGTGGCAACCTAGAAGGGGTCAGGTCTAGCCTCGGACTCTGCCCACAGCATGACGTACTGTTTGGAGATCTGACTGTAGAGGAACACCTTTACTTCTTTGGCAAAGTAAGTTGGCTTTGCATATCATGCATATTTATGAGCTGATATTCTTGTATTATTGGTCAAAATTTCAGGGTACTAGTATACAAATGTCTGGTCCTAATAGCCTTCTCTATCAGACTGTTAACACACAATTGTTGTTCATGTATATTTCAAATCGTAATTATTTTCTTAACATTTAGAGAAAAATTGGAAAATTCCAATTATTTCTTGTTTGCACTATCATTGAATTTTAGCTGAAAGGTCTTACATCTTCTGCGGTTAAGAAGGAGTCAGATCACTACATTGAAGCGACGGGCCTTCAAGACAAGAGAAAACAGCTGGCCAAGTCCCTGTCAGGAGGAATGAAACGCAAACTGTCCGTGGCCATTGCCCTCATCGCTGACTCTAAGGTGAGATTTCTTGATCGGCTGAGATACCGTTTGAAAAAGATGAGATGCTCAGTATTATTTGTGTGAGGATGAAAACAAACATTGACGGAGGTTTTTAATTCAGTGTCTTCCACAGAGGTGGATGGTGACAAAAGTAACACTGTTTGTTTTGGAAACGTTTATAATTGGCATTCTTTTTCAAAAACCAACAGGTGGTGATGCTGGACGAGCCTACGTCCGGCATGGATCCAGACGCCCGCCGGTCAACCTGGGACCTCCTTGAGACCCACAAGACTGACCGTACCATCCTACTGACCACTCACCACATGGACGAAGCTGACCTGTTGGGAGACCGCATCGCCATCATGTCTGAAGGGGAACTGCAGTGCTGCGGAACCTCACTCTTCCTCAAGAAGAAATATGGTGAGGACAAAGCTTGATCAAGCGGCTTGCATGACCAACACTTGCTTCTCTCCACCCAGGAGTATAAATGTGTACTGGCATTAGCTGGGGAGTAACCTGCGATGGGCTGGCATCCCATCCAGGGGGAATAGAAATACTCTCAGTCGTTTCATGCCAAGGATACCGGAGATAAATGCCAGCCTGATGCGCTATATTGGCATGTGACAGACTTTTTAAGGCCCATTTGAGACCTGGACCAATTTGTGACACTACTAAGCAGAAACTATTGCTTAACCAAGTCATTAGCTATAAGTAAAAATTAACTGAACATCAGTCATAAGCAATATACATCAAATGATATTTTGGATGAAAACCTGTGCTTGCTGAGAAAATATTGTCTACGCATATTTCTGTGCTTACTTACTCTAGGATTGTTTTTTTGACATTCTCCAGTAATTGTTTTTCCAATCAAATTGCATATTCTCTGATATTAAATCAACGTGGCACAACACCCTCTGCAGTAGAAGTTCACCACTTAAATGCTATTCAACAATCCTTGATCACCAAGTACATTTCGCACAAACTATTTTTTTTCTCTTCATTTTATGCTCCACTTAACGATTGACCCTACCGTCTATTTGTGTCAAAGGTGTTGGCTACCACATGGTCATGGTCAAATCCCCCCTCTGCGATGTCAGGAGGGTCTCAGACCTAATCCACTCCTACATCCCGAGTGCCGCAATGGAGAGCGACGTTGGGGCAGAGTTGTCGTTCATCCTGCCCAACGAGGCTTCGGACAAATTTGAGGGTCTCTTCACAAAACTTGAAGAGAGCAAAGAAGAACTGGGCATCAGTAGTTACGGTGCATCGCTGACAACTATGGAAGAAGTTTTCATCAAGTGAGTAGACATTTCTGTTGTGAATGAATGTATCATGGGGATGTTTGCTGTATGATTTATCCCAGACACCAACCCTAACTCTCTTTGGATTTTTGTGAGCAATTTTCCTGAATCCTCTTAAATCCACCACTGTGAAAGAAACCCTTGGTACCTCCTTGTTCAGAGCTGTCAAACCTCTAATGTAATAGTACCTATGCTCTCAGTAGTACCTATATTGCCTTCCTCAACCCTGCAAAGTTCAAAACCTTGTGGTACATTTATAAAGGTCTGGGAGGGTTAGAGCTATTCCCTACGATAGGAGTTACAATGGATTGTTGCATCATGGTCAACCGTGTGCATAGTGCATTCTGCAAGGAATTTTACTAAAGGTGTCATTCATGCAGTGCTTTACAAGTGTATTATGGAACTATTAACTTTCAGAGTTGGTGAAAATTCCGACAGCACCTTGAGAGACAAACTTCACCACACATCGGTGGCAAACCATAACCACCACCATGAAACCAACGGTCCGCTGCCCTCCAAAGAACACAATGGTGTGGTCCAGAATGGCCACTCCAACGGAGTCGCGCCCTCGAGCCCTGGCTTAACAAAACGCTCCCACTACGGATCCATGGACAGCTTGCATCAGGGCTCTCTGCTCGGCGAATCTACACTCATTGACATGCCGGGAGACATTAGCAATGGCAGTATTTTAGGTATGTGTCTAAGGCTTGATCCTATTTACTTGGCTTTAGCTAGCAAGAGGCAGCTGATGCCACTTCCCATAGACAAAAGTGTTACTGCCACTTCGTAATTTAGACTCATTGCTATTGTCTTTAATGTAATTTGTTTCCTTTGTTTTGTAATGTTGTGTAGGTGACAAGTTTACCAGTACAAGCAAGCTATCATTGACCACACGTCGCAACAAGGGCCCACGGCTGTACGCTCAGCAGTTTTGGGCCATGCTGATCAAGCACATCTTGCACAGCATGCGTAACTTCATCTTAGCCACAGTGCAACTTGCTGTTCCCTTATTGACCACCAGTGTGGCCGTTGTTCTGATTCTCGTTGCGCCTCAGCTAGAAGCCTCCCCACCCCTCGTCATCAGTGCCACCCCCTATCAAAACAGCATCGCTCAGTTCTCTAAAGGGAAAAACCTGTCTCATCCTGTTACCGAGAGTTTGAGCAGTATGTACAGCCAGCATTTTCAAGGCACGGCAACCCAAGTGGTAGACATCGACTCGCTCACATCCATCCCTCACGACATGCGGGACTATCTAATCTCAGAGGGCGAGAGTTCCATCAGTGCGTTCAACTCCCGGAATCTGGTCTCGGCGACTTTTGAATATTATGACAACAAGCCTGTCGTCATCGGAAACATCACTTTAGGGAATATCTCCCTCCTTGTTGGCACAGCTTTCTACAACAACCAACCCTATCACACATCCCCGCTCTCTCTAAATGCCATCGATAATGCTTACCTGATGCACTACCTCACCAAAGACCACCGCGTTACGGTAATCAATGAACCCTTGCCTCCAACACTCCAGGAGCAATTCTCCGAGCAGTCAGACACCTTTGGCATGGGGAGTATGATTGCCTTTGTCATGATGTTTGGCATGGCGTTCCTAGCTTCTTCTTTTGGCGTCTTCCTGATGATGGAATCCTCAACCAAAGCTAAGCATCTCCAAATCGTCAGCGGAGTGCATTCCACCACCTTCTGGCTCTCCAAGCTCATCTGGGATATCATCAACTACATGATCCCTTGCATCCTGATTGGAATCCTTATGTTAGCCTGCAGAGTAGAATCCTATGCCTTAGAAGGCCGAGTCTGGGACCTGTACCTCCTCTTATTCCTCCACGGTTGGGCAATCATCCCCTTGAGTTACCTCCTATCCTTCCTCTTCAAGGAGCCAGCCTCGGGCTATGTTCGCATCCTCATCATCAACATCGCCTTGTCCATGGTCATGTACTTCACATACGAAGTCCTCTCCATCCCTGATCTGGGATTGGAAGACATCGCTGAGATCTTGGACTGGGTCTTCATGCTGATGCCGCTGTACAGTCTTGGCGCTGCAATGGAGACATACTACCTCCATTTTAATCACATCAAGATCTGCTTGTCGTTCCCGCCATTCAGCTTACAGTATTGTGATGCACAGGGTAAGAAAATCACCCTCATTTTTAATGCTTTGGTCTCAATCATGGATATTTTCAGAAATCTTGAGAGATCGATGCTCCATCAGTCGACAACTAACTTTAACAGCCGACTATTCAAATTAGATGTGATTTGTTCTGTCTGGGATTTTATTTGCCTGAAAGAGGCCTTTCTCAATTTCAATGTAAATTACCTGCGTATATTTGCCTGCACTCAATCAACTTTTACATTTTTCATTGATAGGCATTTCTTACGAGCCTGACTACCTGACTTGGGAAGGGGAGGGCATCGGTCGCTACTTGGTCTACCTTGCCGTAGAAGGCTTCGTGTACATGTCCCTAGTATTCCTGGTAGACTCCAGCCTGTTCAAGAAGGTGGCTCCTAAACTCAGGAAGGCCTTCTGCCGACGGAAGGCACTCGTCTACAGTGAGATGAACAAAGTCACTGGTTTGGCGGTGAGAATCCGTATCATTTCAGTAAAAATGAACTTTTATTATGTACGTGAAATGGGATCTGGGACGGTTAAATTTGATTTGCCAAATTTCAGCTAATTGTGCTTTCTCCTTTGCGCTAAATTTATGACTTATACTTTTTTTTTAAAGGCTGATGAAGATGTTGCCACGGAGAAATCCCGCATCACAGACACACCTCTCACAAAGCTCTGCCAGACTGATGCTTTGCTCATCAGTGACCTGAGGAAAGTCTACTCATTGAGGGGAGGCCAGGGCCTGGTGGCAGTCGATGGCATCTCTGTTGGGGTGCCTCTCGGGGAGTGCTTTGGACTGCTGGGTAAGAGAACTTCTTGATCAAATAGAACAGCTGCAAATTTCCATTCCAAAATTGACAAATTGGATGAGCAGTGACTTAATTTGGCATTGGTGTATTCACACATGCTATAACCTCTGGTTTGATTTTGGAGAATCTGAAATCACCGTGATTAAGAAAACAATTCTTTTTACAAATTTCTTTCAGGTATTAACGGAGCAGGGAAGACCACAACATTTAAGATGTTGACTGGAGATGAGTCTGTAACATCAGGCACTGCGTTCCTTGATGGATACAGCATCAAATCAGACATCAAACTAGTAAGTTATTCTGCTCATTTTTAATTAGGTTTTGGGTTTAGACCTTTCAATTTTATATTCTGTCTGCATCCTCCTTCCCCCTCTCCCCTCCTTCCCTGCCCCTTGTACCCTTCACTTTTGGATCCCTAGTTATAAAAACTGTTGGAGATGGCGCACTTTGGTCCCTCCTATCCTATTTCCAGGAACATTCCATTTCAACCTCAGCAAATGGCAGTATGGTATCACTGTGACATCAAATGTGCTTTGTACTTCCACCTGGATTTTTATACTTGGGTCTGACTGGTGTAATATGAATTAAAATGTTCCAGTGGTATCCACTCATCATTGTCCCAAATTTCTTTTTCTTTAGGTCCAACAGAGGATGGGTTACTGCCCTCAATTTGATGCCCTCATCGATCAAATGACGGGCAGGGAAACTCTCACCATGTACGGTCGACTGAGAGGTGTTCCTGAGGCCCACATACCGGCTGAAGTCAATCGACTACTCAAGATACTTACCATCGAGCCCCATGCCGACAAACTGACCAAGACTTACAGGTAAAATGATTAGAGAGTCAATGTCAATATAATTTTTTTATAATGGAAAAGCTGTATCTCCTGTGCTATCTGAGTGATATCCTGTTGCTGTTTCCCAAGTTTGAAGAATGGAAAATTTTAGTATTTGGGCGTGCCAATCCCTGTCAACATGGCACAAACAGGTTTATGGCTCCTGATGACTAACACCCTTGAACGTTTTACTTAGTCTTGTGCCACTAGGAAATTTGTTAGTGCACTTAGGAAACTTAGCAACCCCATAAAATTGACCCCTTGTGAACAAGTTCAAGTTTTCAGTAACTACCTGTTTAGTAACTCATTGTTAATTTGTTTATTTTTTATATTTTTTTGTCTGCTTCTTATTAGTGGAGGAAACAAGCGCAAATTGAGCACAGCCATTGCTCTGATGGGGGACCCACCAATCGTCTTTCTTGACGAGCCAACAACGGGTATGGACCCCGTTGCAAGGAGACTATTATGGGATACGCTGTCGCAGATCCGGGCCAGCGGCAAATGCATCATTCTCACATCACACAGGTAAAGCACACATTGTCTAATTCAACCAATGAAGATCTGTATAATGAAATTGTGCATGCAGAGTGGTGTTCATGTCTGTGTTTAGTCGAGGTCAGTGGTGGCAGAACATTTCTGATAGAAAGTCAGATGTTGGAGGATTTTGCAGGATTTAGATGGTATAAAACTTTTACTGTACATCAGGTTTAATGCCACTTGAAAATTTCAAATACAACAAATGTGTCATTTGGTTTCTGCAGAGTGGTTAAGTTTGCCCAGGGAATTAATGAGGCTATTTAATTGTAAAGTTTAAGTATCTCTACAAGAATTTGATAGAGAGATATGCACCACACACTAAGCAGCAAATGTTATGAAATTCCATTGCAGCATGGAGGAATGCGAAGCTCTATGCACACGCCTAGCCATCATGGTCAACGGTCAGTTCAAATGCCTGGGTAGCGTGCAGCATCTCAAGCACCGCTTTGGCCAGGGGTACACCGTGCTTGCCAAGGCTAGACACGGAGGGGACCTGAGTGGGTTCAAACAGCACATGGAGGAGCAATTTCCAGGTAAGTTTTCAACAAAAATCATTTAGAAGTTGACCCGAGGAATAAAAATATTAAAGCTGAATAGTAATTCTTGCACTACCAAAGGTAGAAGTTTCAAATCAGATACCGGTACTGAAAAAAAAATGGCCCATGAATAGTTACAAACTGCAGCGCATTCCTAAGAATAAAGAAGGCCGCGACTGCCCGTCATGGCCAATTGTGAGTTAGACCCTAAGTGTTATTTCTAACACAATTGTCTAAACAAGGGTACATGTCCACCTCCCAAAAAATCTTATCCTTTTAATTTATTACCGAATGAATGCAACAAAGTTCTACTACTTACTTCCACACATGTACACAAAAAGTTCGGTTGAATCGGGCCGTTGTTTAATATTCTCAGTTATTAAATTACAAACTAAAATCTGCAGTGCAACTGTTTGGTGCTCTGCAAATACAGAATTCATCTGCACTAGGTCTCCCAATAATACTTTTTTAAACTGCAAATTTTAATCCGACAGGCAGCAAACTGAAGGACGAGCATCAAGGCATGGTGCACTACCACATCACTAACACCCAGCTGACGTGGGCCCAGATCTTCGGCACTATGGAGAGGGCCAAGTCACGCTACGACATCGAAGACTACTCTGTCAGTCAGACTACCCTGGAGCAGGTCTTTCTGAACTTTGCCCGCATGCAGAGGGAAGACGTCCGGCAACGGTAGCATGACCGACCCAAAGGAGCTTTGTAGATAATATGCAATATAGATTATTTTACATTCAGCAGGATTTGTTTCTTCTTTAACCCTTTCATATCTATGCAGCATGCTTCATCCTGAATGTTCATACTTCATCAGTGCTTAAAAGTAGTACTGCTGCTAAGACTGTGAATCTGTTTGTTTAATTTTCTAAATGTTTAAACCCATTACTCACAAGTTTTCAAGGTTTAAAGGAATGATGGCCAAAAAAAGACCTTGCAACATAAAATGACTACTAACTACACTACTTGTACAATGTAAAAGATTATTGGTTATTGGAGAAAAAACTACGTACGTGTTTGTCATTGTTTGTAGAAACCAGAAGTTCAATAATCTTATCAAAAGTGATAATCCATGCCCCATTGTTTTCACTGTTTAGTATAAGTTTAAATTTATGACTGCCTTGACTGCTATTGTTATTATGTTTTTCACAATTTCATTTTTCACTTTGCATGCCACAGACACACCACTCCTTTTGTTTTCTTTCATGCATGTATTTGTATTTCAGTTGCAAAAAATACAGTAGAAAACAAGAAAACTCATCTTACATCAGGGTTCGACCTTAACTTGTGTTCACTGGCCAGCCGGGCTACTGAAACAGACTCTTAAGTAGCTCACAAGATTTTCACTAGCCTGCATGTTTTTCTTTTATAGAGTGTCTCATAAACAACAATGTGCATACATGTAAAACATGTATCCTGAGGCACACTTGTCAGTGTTTCTAATAAACAGATCTAATACTTTAACCCTCAGCAGTTAAAAAAATTAGACACAAATTTATACAGGTTTGCTTTCTGAATTTATTGATTTATTTCTTCCTGTTCTTTCATTTTTACTGTAGCCTAATAAAATTTGACTCGCCAGCTGGACTACTTAAGGAATAGTTTGACTAGCCCGCCGCTGTTTTGACTACTAGTGGGCTACCACTAAAATCGAACCCTGTTACATTGTCTGCAAAATGAAATATTGATTATTGACTTAAACAAATTTAATTTAGTCATTCCTCTTTTAAAAAAAGTGTTAAAAAATTATAATCAATGTTTTCTTAGTTTTGCCACATTGTACACTACTGTGATGTATTCAGTATTAAACACTGCAATGATTTGTATACAGGGTACAATAATGTAAAATTCATTAATTTACTTTTAAAAAAATCAACTTTTTGTTGTTAAGATTTGTGTTGAGGAGGCTGTAACCTGAAAGTGGTGCAGGTTTAACATTGCTGAAAATTCTTTACGCTCGAAAATATAATTTTCCAAAGAATCATTTTGCTTTTTGATCAAGTTTTCATCAGTTCTAAACTTTTTAGACATGTAATTAAGACAGAAGTAAAGTTACAATAAAATGAACAGTTGAACGTCTGACTTTTGTGAATTTCATCTAAATCATGCTCCCCCCCCCCCGTTTTTGAGCTTATTGATGTGTACATTGCCCCCCCCCCCCCCCCCCCCCCCTCGCCCCGCCCTTTCGAACCCTGCAGTTTTGGGAAGCTATCATAAAACAGTCGTCGGTAACACAAGTCAGTTTTATGTCTAGTAACCTTTACAGTTGGGTGTTAAGTAATTATGACTAGATGCAGAAGCCAGTCGATTACGGTATGTCACGAGAGAGACTCGAGATGGCTTCATTTGGCACTGATCCATGGTAAGAATTTGTCCTTAAAATACTGTCAAACGGTCTTGATTGCAGCAGATTTATGTGCACAATGGAGTCTGCTTATGTAGTTATCCGATAGATATCAGTCATGTCAGTTGTCTTGCTTGAATGCTGCGTTACGGTATATGCAATTATAAATCTGGGAGTGGGTGTTGAAAAACTGTGTACAAACAAATGGGATTTTAGAATGGCTGTTGAGTGTGTGGACCACCTCCGTAAATAAAGGCCACTCTTGGTTAAAGCATAGAGCAAGGAACATTCCTTGCTCTATGGTTTATGTACCCGAAAATTTAGGACTTTGTCAAATTTTGATTTTAACATTTAGCCTAAAGTTTGTTTGTAAATTTATTTACGCTTTAGAAGCACACTCACCCTCTTTTAACGATGGAAAAAAAGGCCCGCCTTTCTCAGACGTCTACTTTTCCTGTAATTTCTAGGTTCGTTTGCTTACGTTTGCGAATCTAAATTCACAACATCGGAAAGATCATGTGCGTGCTGGATCGTTTCTACTGTCGGTCACGTACATTTTGTTTTGTAGACTTTTGAGTCAAGGCACACGTGGCAACCCGGATACGAAAAAAGACCACGCTAGTGCAGTGGCGGCGCACAAAGCCAACGAGCTCCGACATTGGCGTGGTCACGTGGTCCCAATCGTCTGCAGCATGTGCAACGTCACTAAACTCATTCAAGGAGGAAATTTGCAAAAAATTGGGACATGTAAACAAATAAATTTCAGGTTACATAATTTGGCGTAGTCCCACACGAGATGCACAACAAGTTGATGTGATGTTTCCCCAGGATTCTTTGCCGACTTTATGATACAGGGGGCCTAGATGTTCATGAAAATAGTTTACATCAAAGTCAAAATTTAAAAAAGGAGTTCTACTGCCCCAGTTTCTGCATCTCGGCCTGACGTAAGAATCCAAGAATATTGCTTAAGGTTGCTCTTAAAGTCAATTTGAAATGATAAAAAACACTCTTGGAACTGAACTAGAAGTTAGCCCTTCACTTTATGATTTCTGAGCTATATGTTGGCTTCATGCTTTAAAGCAACATTTCTCGATGTCAAATTGACTCTACAGGTTGGCAGACTACGAGACCTGCCTACGGACAGGTCAGTCCCTCATGGAGAAGATCAACCAGAGAGACGAACTCCAAAGGAAAGGATCCAGCCACTCAAAGGTTGGTAGAAACCTGAAAAGATAAATGTCCACCTAGCCATTCCTTGGAAGCCCAACTTTAAAGAGCACCTATTAGGAAGTGCATCTTTAAGAAAGTTCAAGTGAGGACTGGTAAAACCATATTTCAATGAACTTCACTCGAACCAAGGATGGTTGGACTACTCTCGTTGACTATTTGGAACCGGAACCTGTGGCACGGTTGCATCACTGGTTACCAGTCGGCTAGCCGCGCGCATCATAATGCACAAGTAGCGAGGACCGAGAAGTTTCGTGATGACGTTTTGACCATCGTTTTGACTAGAGACATTGCTATTAGTGCACAGGCGTAAGTTAAATTAAGCTACAAATCAACCACTAGTCGACTAATGGTCCTAGCCTGCACTTGTTCCATGATTTCAGTGTTTCGCGAGGTCAGAATTTAATCACCCAGAAATCACTGTCTATCTCAATCCTTGTGCCAAACAATATTTTTCAATGTGGTAGTCTGCATTTGTGAAATAGTCATTACTTTCTTACAGATTGAAGCAGAGATTCGGTTGGCTCTGAGGAAGTTCTCCAAAAGCATCGAAGGCTTAAAAGGACAACTCTTGAAAGCATCTTCTAACTATCATCTGTATCCTTGTGAATTTGTAACTTTGGATTAATAAATTTTCCTAGGTTGGCAGCATTGCTAATATTGCTAGCATTATGACTTTGGGTATGACCCCTGCCTACGTAGTATATATGGGTTTATGGCTTCTGACTAGTGCCCCTTGAACAAAGACATGGACATAATGGTGAATCGCCAACATAGGGCTGGATAGCTCAGTTGGTAGAGCACCGGAACGGCAATCCGGAGGTATCAGTTTCATACCCCGCTCCAGTCAATCTCTTTGTTAAACTTAAACCAGTTTGCGCCGGGAATATTTTGTCATTGACCGGACCCAGGTGCGGGATTGTTTTCATGAACCTCGATGCCAGACGGGTTCAGGCCGTCATCTGTGGGTAGCACACCCTGATAATTCCGGCCTTTCGCTAGCTGCAAGCAGGTCGCCGACAGATATTTCCGGCCTCGCTCCCTGCATGTTAATCCGTCATGTCCTCCGAATACCACAAAACATTTGCGTGTATACACGTCTGACGTGAACTGATTAAGAATTAAAGATTAAAAAATCAACTTTACTGCTTTTTCTTGGTGGCCGATGTTGAAAAGAAACCAACAAATTCTTCCCTGTTCTATGCATTTTTATGCCCCGCGGCGAAGCCGAAGGGGCATACTGTTTCCGCCTTGTCCTTCCGTGGGTGGGTGGGTGGGTGGGTGTGTGGGTGTGTGTGTGGGTGGGTGGGTGTGTGGGTGTGTGTGTCCGGACAAATCTTGTCAGCGCGATAACTTGAGAAATACTTAACATATGAACTTCAAATTTGGTTTGTGGATTGTCCTTGGTAATCCTAAGAAGCCTTTTGCATTTGGGGCCGAAAGGTCAAGGGTCAAGGTCACAGTGGCTGAAACAATAGAAATTTTGTCAGCACGATATCTTGAGAAATACTTAACATATGAACTTCAAATTTGGTTTGTGGATTGTCCTTGGTAATCCTAAGAAGCCTTTTGCATTTGGGGCTGAAAGGTCACGGGTCAAGGTCACAGTGGCTGAAACAATAGAAATTTTGTCAGCACGATAACTTGAGAAATACTTTACATATGAACTTCAAATTTGGTTTGTGGATTCTCCTTGGCAATTCTAAGAAGCCTTTTGCATTTGGGGCCAAAAGGTCAAGGGTCAAGGTCACGGTGGCTGAAACAATAGAAATTTTGTCAGCGCAATAACTTGAGATATACTTTACATATGAACTTCAAATTTGGTTTGTGGATTGTCCTTGGCAATCCTAAGAAGTCTTTTGCATTTGGGGCTGAAAGGTCAAGGGTCAAGGTCACAGTGGCAAAAACAAAAGAAATTTTGTCAGCGTGATAACTTGAGATATACTTTACATATGAACTTCAAATTTGGTTTGTGGATTGTCCATGGCAATCCTAAGGAGCCTATCGCATTGGGGGTCGAAAGGTCAAGGGTCCAGGTCACAGTGGCTAAAACAATAGAAATCTTGTATTTATTCTGAGATCATAGGGATTAGGGATTAATTCATATAAAACCTACAGAAGACACTAATGCTGTCAATGAACGTTCCATTTGACCAAGGTACATGTAAGTTGATGTTAGAGTGGTGTTATGTCATGGAAACAGTCACGGTTGCGGGGCATTTGTGTTTGTAAACACACCTGACTTGTTTAAATTTTTTTTTACAAAACAGGCATATAAGTCATTGTATTTCCTCAACACTCTAAAAGCACACAGCGAGAGGTGGATAGACGGGTGGGCCTGCTGGACAATCTGACAGCAAAGGATAAGATTCTGAATGATGCATTCAGGAAAGACATCACCTACACTGCTCCTGAAAGGTAACTCAAGGCTCTCAAAGAATCATTAAATGCAGTAACTGGAGTGGTGTGCTGTGGCCTTGTGGTTAAGGGCACTGATTCGTGGTCTGTGGGTAAAGCTGCAGGTTGTGGGTTCGAGTCCTGGTGGGGTCACGGTGCGTGTGCCCTTGAGCAAGGTACTTTGTCACTCATTGCTTCTCTCCACCCAGGAGTAAATGGGTACCTGTGAGGGCAGAGATGGTTATTGTGATTGAATTAGCTTCCTTGCGCCTAACAGGCTGCATCGAGCTGTATACTCCCAAGGGAGCTGAGATGGTATTTGGAATGTTTCATGTGCCCAATGAGCAGGGGTAATAATGATGTAGCGCCTTAAGCACCAGTCCTGGTGGATACGTGCACTTTAAACATCCACTATTATTATTATCATTAACTGAAAAGAAAGTGATTATATTTACAAAGTCGTATCACAGTTTCGCCAAATTCAGACCAATCTACTTGGTAACCTACCTAGTTTAAAGACTACGATTACCTTTGCGCTTTGCAGGACCAGACTACTCGCACCCAACACCGCAGGTTTTGGTCAGGACTATTACGACGAACCGGACGAAATCAGAGGGATGTCAATCAACGAAATCAGAGAACAACAACAGCAAGTCATTCAACGTAAGTCATCATTTCAGAAATGCAGACTCGGAGATTCACTTGAAGCCCTAAGCAAGTTCCGTCAACGACTGTGGCTAGCCATAGTTTGACTAAATTTTGTTGACGGCAAACTTTTCAACACCAGATTAGTCAACTTTTTTTCCAGGACGTTTGCTTGGCGTTATTTTATTTCTTTTAAGTAACTCTGTAAAATAGTCCATGGTCAGATTGTTGGCTTATTTTGGTCAATTTCCGACACAAAGTTGAGGGAGGTACTTAAATCTAATGATGTTAGCCTGTGAGAGACCAGCAATTTGGCTTTTTGACTTCAATACAAAGCAAGTGATAGTTGTTTTAGCACAATGCATAAATTTAAAAAAAATATATAAATATTTCAAGGCCTCTGAGACTGCTTAGTAACTGTCTGATATAGTCTGGAATTTTAGTTTTTGCATCAGTGTGTTTATTTTCTCACATATGTTATGTGTATATAGAGCAAGACGAAGGCTTAGAATCACTAGCTACAGTCATAGCAAGACAGAAACAGATGGGGCAGACGATAGGCACAGAGCTTGAGGAACACAACGGTAAGATCCAAAAGAAAATTGCTAATCCTTGTGCTTCTGCATGTGGGTGTAATGTTTGCCCCTTCTTGAGTGATTTTGCTCAATTTGCAGGTCAGGATAACATAGTAGCCAAGTTGAACTGGACCAGAAAGTCTCAGTTTAGGACAGCATTTACACTAAGTAACTCAGTCACTAACTCAGTTGGTCAGGGACTCTTTCAGTCATTGACTCAGTCAGTCTGAGGACAGTAAGCTGGCCCTTCCGGTCCGGCAATAATGCCTGCCGCCCTCTTGTGACATATTTTACTTAGTGCTCATGGATAGATGTTTTGGGGGAAAAAAATGATAATGACGTGTTGAATATCGAGTATGATTGGAAATTCTCCTTTCCCCCAGAAAAATCAGTTTAGAAAATACCACAAAGACGTGTCAGGCATCAAGTGTTCTTCATATTTTTGTTGGGGGATGTGTGGGGGCGTGGGGGGATAGAGATTTAAATATGCTTCATCGCTTGACCTAAGTCAAAACCGAAACAGATTCATCACTGTCTGTTGACTGTCATACTAACACCCATGAGAATGAGTTATGGCTTATCTATGCCTGCCCGTGCACTAGTTCTCACAAAACCAGTGTCCTGGTATATATTTTACTGCAAATTAAAAGAAGGTTTTGTTTTAAAGATCAGAGTTTTCTTTTTGAAGTTGTCTAGAACAATGTCCTTTTGGTTTCGTTCGCGAATATATGTGTATATCAAATTCACAAATCTTTGACGTTTTTATGTATTGGTATCCAGCCAACATTCTACAGTCGTAGGCGTGTAATTTCTTATACAATTAGTTCGTAACCTTCCAAAGATAGCATTTGACTATTAAAGGCACAATACATGTATGTGCATGCACGCTGTTAGACATACCAAATATTGGAAAGATATAATTTTCAAATTTGGAAAACAGACAACTGCACGTAGTGACCAGGTTTATTCATTTGCAGTGTTTAACCCTAACCTTTCCAAATCCTCCAAACTCCTCATTGCAAAATGGAGGATTTTGCAGGATTGAGGCTATAGGGCAAAAAGTGTTTGGCTGATTTCGGATTATGCACTGTGTCAAGGTCTTAGGCCGGACCTTGTGTTGTTTATGCTCAGCCGTGCATAAATATAGGCCTGTATTATATTTGAAATCCTCCGCACTGCTCCAGGATGTCACTGGCTCTGCCTCGAAATATTGGTAGTGATTGCTGGAGGATTTTGCAGGATTGAGGCAATGGTCACCCCTCCAAGGACCAAATTCAGGAAGTAACGATTTTGGAGGATTGAGGCTGTATGCTATTGTTAAATGGAGGCAGTTGGAGGATTTTGCAGGATTGAGGATACATAAATGCCTTGGGAGTTAGAATTAAGAATAACCCTGCAGTGCGTGAAATTACAGTCGGACATCGGACATTTTCCGACCACTTTCATGGTTTGTCCGACCAAATGCAGATGTGCTCGGACAAAATGTCCGAGCGATTTATGTATTCTTTGTGGAGTTGTCTTTTTCAGAAGTATGAAATAAACGCTTGCACTGAAAAGTATTTTGTTGTTTATTTCCGATGATCCGGTCTGTAATACTTACCGTACGCTGAGCGGCTGCTAACTACATGTACGTGTTGTCTTATATTCACGCAATAGATGCAACGCGTTTACACCCCAATCATTACACAGTCTAGTACAGCGCAGCGTGCACAGCGATAGATTGGCATTCGTACGTACGTGCCGTTTGCCAAAAAATAGACGTGAAATCAAGTCGATAAATTGTGTTTTGATCAGCAGTCTTCGTGTTTCTTCTACAAATCAGTTAATACAACTTTTTGTACTTTTCAAGTCATTTTATGGAAATGAGCAGTGGCCGTTTGTGGAATTCCCAGTTAATTTCTATTGGGCAAAAGTGTTGAATTGGACCTGATTCAACCTCTATTCCTTGCTATAATGATTCGTTCGAGCCTCTTTGGACATTCAGAACTGCAATTTCACCCAGTTTAAGTTATGTGTTCTGCAGACTTGAATCGAGTCTGTATAGTGACGAGTCGAAATATAGAGTATTATAAGGACATTGACGCGCATACATGTAATGAGAATTTAGCAAGATCAAAGTACGTTGTGTTGCGCGGTATGCTTTAAGTGCGTGATTGTTACTAAATTCTCACAACGTGGCTTACTACAGAAACGAGCGCGTGAATCAAATTTTGAATGCTAAATGGCAGATCAAAACTTGACAATGGCAGAACACTTTTGATTGTGCTCGGACATTTTGTCTGACCACTTTTTTTGTCTAATTTCACGCACTGACCCTGCCTTCATTGCTGTGCTTGAGTTCACAAGTGCCCTTCACTTGTCCTTCGCGCTAAACTACATACAGCCCTCTTAAGTTCATTCAGAGTCCGTGTGCAACATGCACGTACAATCCGACATTGACATTTTCTAAATCCTATAGTTCATCTATATTTTGCCCAGCAATCCGTTGTGACTCATGGTCGCTTTATTAGCTGCCGACACCTCTTGTATTATTGTACTCATCTGTACCACATGTGCTTAAATGTCAAATGTTTGTATTGTTGGCAAAAAATGTTCTCACACTTGTTATTTTAGAACCAACATATCCTCAGCGCAGAAATGAAATTATCAAAATATATCATACCCAATCAATTCCAACAGAAGGCGGGGCTGGAAATTTATTGTTCTCGAGAGGGCGCGGTCTGCTTCTATTTTCTGTCCTCTGCTTACGTCAAAGAGATTCGCCAGAAATTGCAAACAGTTGAATTTGGGCGGGGCTGAACAATTTATTGTTCTCCTGTGGGCACGGTCTGCCTTTGGGTCAGGCTTGAGGCAGTATTGTTCAGTCATGACGATGGTCAACTGTAGATTTTAATCACATGGAAAAGTCCCAGTTGTGAAATCCCAAGGTGGATTTACAGATGAAATCCCACCTGTTCGGCATAGTATGGCCAGGAAGTTTTCTTAATTCTTCAATTTAAGCCCACTCTGTGCTGCAACTGTTTGAACTTACACAAAATTGAGACATCAAGGTAGATAAACACTCTTCCCCTTAGGCATTTTTCCTTAAAAGCTTCCGTATTCCGCCCAAATCCCATCACTGCGCAACAAATCAAAATCACACTGTTTAGGCTGGAACAATGTTTGGTCATCAAAATCCATGTGAAGTAAAAGTGCCTGGGTTATTCTGACCTGAATCCATGGAAAATATTGCAAATCAGGGATTCAACGTACCGTATCACAGGGATTAAAGTTAATTCAGTTGATATGTAATTTCTCATGGAAGTCCATATTCTGCACTGATCAGCTACAGGCAAAGATATCTTGAAAACACCTGTTTTGTAAAGTCCCTAGGTCACTGTCTGGTGTGTCATAATTGAAGAGCGCCCTCAATCATTTACATGTTTTGATCGATCAACTGTTTTGAACAATTTTTACAGAATGCACTTTTATATGACATTATTGCCATTTTCATTACCACAATGTGTCAATGGAAAAAACTTATCATTGTTTCTCAGTTTTTTAATAGCTCCACCATTTCAACTTCATCTATCACAGATATTTTCCATAAGCTTCATCACTCAAGATTACACTGTATCGTTGAGTTAACTATGTAAATTTTAATTTGGCTTTACTCCTCACTGATGCTATTTTATAAGCACTGTACATGTTCAATGCTGTTCAAGAGCTCACAACAAAATCTACAAGCTTACTGGGGTGGGACTCGAACCCACGACCTCCTGCTTACAAGTGCAGACGTTTTACCACTCAACAACTGGGCTTGTCAGCTGGCTGGTTCGAACCTGATAAAGCAGCGGGCACTGCAGCTTATATCTCGAATTGAAATGTTGTATCGGTCATCTCAGCTTGATCACGTTGCCATTTTGAGCCGCCCTCCTTTCAACTCGACACGGTCACTCCCTCGCACTGGCATTGTACTGACGGAGTGCACCGAGCAAAGAAACTCTGTCAAAACAGAGATCGGTTACTCGCCGAAAAAATAACAACACGGAAAATTGAATGGCCGTTACATGTAATCGAGATAAAGCCTTTGATAACTTGCGCAATTTGCATGCAGGTGATGGCGCGTTCCGGAATTGAAAACGGCTAGATCACTATGTAACTTTATACCTTGCAAAACAGGCCGTTACGGATTACAGTAAAATGGCTGGCAGCTGCTCTTGTGCAGTGGGGATTGAGTAACGCTTATTGATTATTTGATATACTTTGCAAAACCGGGCACTCGACAGGGAAGATTTACCTAATTGCCTCAATCCTTCATAAATGAGACAACAACTTCTTAAAATTTATGTCCCTTTCTACTCGTTTCAAGCTTTTCTGGCAATCTCATACCCTTAAAGAGTATATTAATCTTACAAATTGTGTGAAAATTAAAAAGTTGGTTCGCACTGCCCACTAAAGCAAAACAGTGATTTAAGTTTCATTGCTAGGTTTGCGGTCGCCAGCTAACAAATTCTCTTGATTCTGAAATTCAAATGAAGTACATGTATGAACCAACTATCATTCTACAATTCTTAAGTTTGATATTGATGTTTAATTGACAACAGCATGTGCACCACTCAGCACTAATTGGCACCTATTCCCTCTGTGGCCCCTTGACTAGCCCCTGGGCAACCCAGAGCACACCCACCCCAGCTCCCTTCACCCACTCCTGATCTTACCCCCAAGGCCCGAAATCAAACCCAATTTACTCCCCTTCCCCCTGCGGGACGTGACCAGTTTGCTGGCCCTTCCTCTGTCACGCAACGTATCCCCTAAAAAAAATATACCCCCAACCTTTGAGAGAGGGCAAGTGTATTAGGAGAACTTGTCTGAAAAATTTAGGTTTGACCCACTTCCATGAACCAGATTTTGTTTGGACGGGAGGGCATTGTAACTTTTGAAATATTTAAAACTGACATTTACACTTGCTCCACACAAGTTGGTATTTTCATTGTATGTTTTATATCAACTACAACTGGACTTCTGCA